GTCTTCCAAGTTCATAAAAAGTTCTATTCACCCTCTTCCTCTTGTTCATTGCAAACCTTTGCATTGGCTAAGAAATTGTTTGCCTGAGGTTTTCCTGACATGGTAGTGAATATTACAGATTTGGTATGACAAAGTAATTATAACAGTTTTATATTTGTAGCCTGGAGTTCCGTTATTGTCATGATATTCAGAAAAATATTTCTCTTACATGTGTAGAAGTCTTCCTAACTGTGTTACCTCAATCTCACATACTTGTAGGACTAAATTGAATCGATTCCACTTGTATACTGTGTTGCATCTGTTTGTATGTTGCTCTAATGTTGTGGTGAAGGTTGTATTTTATTTGTAATCTGACAAAGAATTAATTATCACAGAAAAAGATTCATATATATTGAAGTTATGGTATTGTTAACAAAATGTAAAGATGTGTGTAGTGCAATTATGATATATGGATTTGTGCTGGAAAGCAAATTGTACGTCTTCCAACCATATTGTTTTTTCAAAATCTAATTTATAGAAGACATTAAACAGTAAAACCTCTGCTCTGTATGTATTACGTCAAGTACACATATTTTCATAAACAACCCCCCCCCCCCAAATGGAGAGAGAGGTTGTTACTTTCATATCTGGTACCTTTTTTTTCTGTCAGTTGATCTTTTATACATGTATTTCCAAAATGTCTGCTTGATGGTATTTCAAGTTTGTCTAAGTCACAGATTTTAATTGATATTTCAGAAAGGAGTTGATCGTTTTACACAGATGCACAGATCTTTTGACTTCAAGCTAATGATACATTGTTCTACAGAAACCCTTGTTAATTATATTCTAAGTGTTTTAATCACTCAACAGAAGAGAACACTTACATCCCAAATATTGCAGATAAAAAACATAAGAGGTTTGGATCTTATATATTATGTGCTTAATGGAGTATTATGATTAAGTGGTGTTTTATTCCTAATTTTTAAAGAAACTTATTATATTCGGATGTCTTCCAGTCATTATGTTACAACTCTATTGATATTCAGATGAGATAATAAATGGGACTATTGTGTATATGTTAATTCTTGTGTCCGTTTTGTGTCTGTCTTGTTTTTCCTGTTTTTCTTCATGTTGCATCTGTGCATCGTTTGTACATTTCTGGAAATTAGATAAAGACAAAATATTTCATCAATGCTATTGTATGTTGCACTACATTATGAATATACTGCTCTATGCTGAAATATATGTATGATTCAGGGAAATATTCATTTGTGTATGTGATACATTACATAGTAAAGATAATCTACATTGTGTTTTGCATAAGAAGGGTACTTAGTTTAATGTATTAGAATTGAAATGTCAGATGTATCAACATATGCAATTTAAAAACTGGAATGAAAACTAATGTGTAAATACAACAAAAGACAAGATAAAGAAATGTTGGGTGGATTGAAATGTAATATGTGAACATATACTACATGGTCACATTGGTCTTTCTATACAGGTTGTGGTTTCTACATGGAAGTACATGGGCCAAGCAAGATGGATGGCCTTTGTATTCACGGTTTTGGTTCTTTCTCTTTTGAGAAGAGACATAGCTTGTCACTTTGGGCACCTCAAAGTGAAAACTTGGTATGAGAAATGTGCAATTTACGGCTGTGTTTTATAAAGAGACAAAACGGAACTATATCTGTACTCTCTGGTGTGTGATGGTATATGAACATGCGAAAGAAACAACAGGTACGAGTACATGCATATGTGTGTTTACCTATATGTTTATATGTGAGTTTTAATGAAGAGCGTTTGTTTAACTATGTATTGACATATACTTTGTTGTGCAGGTAGATGTGTGTGATTGTTTGTTTGTATTTGGATGATTGTTCTTAAGTAGTGTTTGTTTTCATACCCGTATGACTGTTATTTGTTGTGTAGTACTTTGATAATGTTTTGTGAGTGTCATATATGAGCATGTGCTATGAATACAAATTACTCCCATCACATCACAATACACAAATCTAATCTACATGAATCAAGTGCATCGACTCCATACATTCACCCTCAGAATCTGGGATACATGACATTTTTTTACATGAGACACAAACTAATTTTGCGCAAGTCAATCATTGATTTGTCAAAACTTAAAATATAAAATGATAACAAGATTGCAATCTAAATCAGGAAAAGTACATGCTGTCCAAAGGTAAGATAATATGACAAAAGGGTTTTTTCTCTTTTAATTATTGAATTGAGGAGCTGGAGAATCATGATTTCTATTTTCCAGTTTAAGGAGCTGAAAATCCTTTATATAAATACTTAACGGGCAATCCAACCCTTGTAAGAGGTTCTTTGGGGTTAAAGCAAACATTTAGATAAGCAGAATGACGAAAGTTTGAAATAAAACAGATCAATATTAAGAAAGTTAAGAATGTTTTAAATAGGAGATCACTAAGCTTATGCAAATCTCAAATTGGCTGTTTGATCAGTGGATTGTGATGAATTTGCGGATTACTCTCTCATTTCTCGTGTACAAATGTAGCATGAATTTTTGTTTTTCTGTGCCTTTTCCAGTGAGGCATTACTGAAATAAATATTGGAATTTTAGTAATTTTGTGTACAGCACAAATGAGAAAGTTCTCCCCCACTACATCACAGAAACATTACTGATTCAGCCAATTTGAAGTGCCCATACCTATAGTGATTACAACTTCTTTTGTCGGGTTTCAATCAAACTTTCACCAGTCTACTTCTCTGATTTTTCTGCTTTTCTCTAGACTAGTTTGCTATCAAGGTCGGATTTCCCGACTGATGTGTCTGACATTGTCAGATAATACATAAGAAAATCTGAAATACATTTTTTGTTCAAGAAAATTTACGGTAGTCATTTGGAAATGTGACTGTAACTGTCCAAACTTACTCCCAAGACATATATTCTTTAATATTTCAAAACAATTTCATTCTTTAAAATTAGTGTTTTAAATTGAATCATAAGGTTCCATTGGGATAACACTAGAGGACACTCTTGAGATTTTAATGTTTATTTTGTTTATGGCCATATTCTTTCTCTCTCTCTTAGTATCCTTTATACTTGTTTTGTTCTCTATCTATTTTTGTTTGCTATCATTTTTCTTTCTACTTTACTCATATTCTCCTCTTCACAACTTTCCTTTCTTGTTTCTTTCTCTGTGTGTATCTTCCTCTTCTCGTGTCTGCTCTATTCATCTTCTACTCTTCTCCATTACGGATTCACTTCTCTCTTGGGTTCATATATATATATATATATATATATATATTTATTATATATATACTGCTGTGGGATAAAATAATGTTACCCTGAGGAATGCCTTATTGGAAAGGATAAATGGAAAGATGGTGTCATAATTATCACTTATCTGAATTTTTCTGAAGAAAAAGTAAATCCATTGAATTTTATTGGAAATTCTACCATAATATGAAAAAATATTTCTTGTTATCCTTCACAAAAAGGCACCCTCATTCCTAGATGTGTTTTACTTTTAAACTTTGATGAATTTATGCAATATTTATACTGTTTGTCACAGGAAGCACATCTTTTGCATTGCAGCGAGTGATTACTTGGGGGGAAATATATAGATATACTGTCGGAACTTCAGACGTTCGCTGAAATAAGTTGTCGATTTCTAAGCATATTTTGCTCCACAGTACCAAACAATTGTTGAAAACTAATGAAGGATAGGCACCCGTAGCAAAAGATGTGCTTTCCCTCAAAGTATGATTATATTTGATGATTTATTTTTGTGCAATATTTATAAGATTGCATATCATCTCCATTCATTTACCTGCAAACATTAATGCACTGCCAAATATGTTAACTTTTGGCCCCGTCACAAATGGCTATTCGAAAGCACGCCGCTCTTTTGCCCTCTATATAATTTATTTGACTTCTCATTGATGATTATGATGTCATTTCTGATTACCTTGATTTATATTTCACTGAGGATATTTACCTAATCATTATTTGGCAAAGCTACAATTATGACCTGAATAGAATCCTATGCATGATGTAATTGAAGTATCCAGCCCAAATTCTTGGCCGAGTCCAACTTTCTTCCCCCCCCCCCCCCCCCCAATCAGCATGTAATGCTAGTCTCCAAACCCTTTTTCTAAACCCTCATCCAAATCCTTCAAAGGTTAAAAGTTCTTTTGTGCCATACCTCCTAAAATTGTGTAGAATATTCTCATTCTACAAAATAAAATAGAGCTATATGACATTGGATTAATTTAGAGACTATATAGGAGCATCGTTAATTCATTGATATCGATATATATTTAACCAGTGGTCCATGTCAATGTCTCTTGTAAGGCAACAAAACAAAAAAAATTCCCTCTCCCCATAGTAGAATAGAGCCCTCTATTGACGATTGTTGGCCATGGCAATCCCAACTCCTTACTTGAAAACCTGCTAATGTAATATCGTTTTAAGGAGGAAAAGTCCTACAAAATATTGCTCCTTATATTAAACCCATGTTAAAAATATTACTCTTCCCACTCTTAAAACGAATGAAAAGACAAAAAGAATTCTATTGATAGCGGGAAGCATGCACACATCTCATTCCATTTCATGTATAAACAGACTATGTCATTCTTTACCATATGGCCGGTATCTCTTCCATGCCAGTTTTTAACTTCAGCACAGTTTTGGAAAGGCTAGTGAAAGTCCTTGAGAACCTTTTTAAATCAAATTCCAAAAAAAAAACAACCAACAATTGAAACGCAAAGAATCAGGAAAATTAGAAAGGTGATATATGCCAATCAGATAGCATTTAAGATTTAATGCACCTTTAGTTGTATTGTCTACATGTGGTTTGTAGATAATACAGCTGTTATAACAATGAAAGACTCGAGGACACCACATCAAAATCCTTTCCAAAGCTGTGCACAACCTTTATATGTCTATGTTTTATTTTGCTTTCATATATTTTGTTTTATGGTTTCATCATCCGACACCTACCTATTTGTCTTCATTCATTCATTCACCTAAATAGTTCATACTGGCAGCCCAGAAGGTAAATAAAACTACATCACTCCAATTATTAGTGATAGCACTCAGCTTGCACTCCTGCTACGTTTCTGCCCTTACTACTTCTACTGCATCCAATCTCTGTTTCTTGCTGTGTTCACTCACATTGCAGTATTTTTCATGTTTCCCCTGTCCCTGCCTTTTTTTTTTACATTTCATGCACACTTTCTTTATCTCCTTTTTTTCAGCAATAAGCAGCAGATTTATGCCAATTTGACTCATGATTTTTCTCTTTTTTTCAGATTCTGTTGCAATGAGTCTATAACCTGTTTTTTTTCTTTTCTCACAATATCTGTATCTTTTGCTATATCTTTGACATGCATTATACTAATGTATTAACTTGTATTAAGAAACAAGACATGGCCAATTATACGCCGTGTACGTAGATTAGACTCTCAATGTCAAATGTATTTGTGTATGTACATAGTGATACAAGTAAATGTTCAATTCAGATCATATCATTTTTCAAATACTATGAACAAAAAGCAAATTACGAATGATTCCAAATTATATGTACATTGTGGTACAAATTCTCTTTACTTTGCAAATTGATTTTCAAGCTTGATCTTGTATAGAAATGTTCAAACTTAAGTTTGAAACGTGCTTTCGGACATTCTTCATATGAAGCACCCAATAATTTGTTTTCTCTCAATAATTTTAAGTAAATGTCTCTTAAATGCTTGCTTTCTAAAAATGCAAAGTAATCTAATACAACTTTGAATCTATATGAAAATAGCTTATTTTGTGATTTTGGGCATATAATATCATAATGCAATGTAGTTTAGATTGATTGTTGTGCATACAATGATGATTACGTACATGTATATGTTGTAGATAGACTTAAAACAGCACTTTTTATTTGACTTAAATGACTCTAGTAGAGTACTAGTTCTTTTTCTTATTTTTCTTATTTATTTGTTTATTTATTTATTTGATTATTTATTCATTTTCTTATATAAACACAAGTATTTACCTGTTTAAATATTAGATTGGATAGTAATTTGATATCAAACTATTTACACCAGTTAAACATATATTTATATTGACACAGGTAGTGTGTAGATCGTGCTTAGATATATGTTTTAGTGATAAGATATAATATATAATATATAATATATATATATAAACCAGCATAATTATGTAAGCATTGGGATAATCTTCGAGAGGCTTTCAAATACAATTTTAAGGAAAAACACAAAAACATAATAACAATCAGATTAAAAAATTTATTTAGGTTTGTATGGATAGTCAACATAAGTCAGAGTGGGGATACAGTCATATTGTTCTTGAAATGGAAAGATATGAAAGATCTATTAATTTTCATCAATTATTTCCCCTGCCATTACTAACATGGTTACTCCATACATTTCATAATGATGTGCACCATCTCCACTTCTTTAAGGACAGATTCCATTGAATAGGACTTATCATGAAAAGTGTTTCTTGGTTGAAGGCCTATATCTTTTGTCTCTCATCTTTTTAGCCATGTCACATCATTGTTTGATGTTTGAATCTTTAGGAGATGGGAGGGGGGGGGGGCTTATCCATATCCATGTTATGCTTTGAATTGCTGATGCAGTGCTTTTGCATTAGGATATTTTCTGTTTTGGGACTTGTTTTATTAGTGTATTTGTCTTTATCTGCATCTTTCAAGTTGTGTCTGTGACAAAGGTAAAATAATTCATTGTCACAATTCTAGATATCGAGAAGGAAACGTTGTAGTATTGATAAGATATGAAGTGTTTATTATCAAAACAGTTCTTTAAGCAAAATGAGGGAGTAGAACGAACAGGTTCGTTGTCAAGAAGTATCTTTGTTACGGTAAAAAATAGAAAAGTAGTTTATGTTTATGTATAATTGTATATATATATATATATATATATACTTTATTTTAATAGTCTAGAACTACATGTTTATCCAAATATATTGATGCAAGATTATATAGGTTCATGGAAGGACTACTTTATAAAAGATTGTATTGTATTGTATTTATTTTCCATCAATTAAAAAAAAAAAAAAAAATTACAATCATGAAGACAAACTAATAAAAGGAAAACGGAGGGATGGCCCTACTCAGCGTTGTCAGCATACAAACGCTGTTTTACAGAGGGGTCCCTATAAACATAAAAGACATGTAAATATATAGTACAGGAATAAGGATAACTTACCCGCAAAAAAATATACAATATTGATACATGATTATGTAGGTTTATGGAAGAATTGCTTTTTGAAAGATAATATGAATTAACCTGGCCTCTGATCCTCCCACAATGTTCAGCGTCCATCACTCTTCCGACGCCTGGTTGGTGCCGTTAAGAAGAACAGCAATGAGAACTTGCCTGGACTTGCGGAAGAGGGTGGAAGCACCAGCGGGACTGTGGCCATCAAGGAAGAGAAGACGCCCTCTCCTCCGCCCAAGGAGAAAGAGAGACCACGCCCAGGAAAGGTAGTAACTACCCTCCCTAGGATCGACAGCTCTGGATCAGAGGGGCTTATGGTAGACCAACCGCTCAAGCAAGCCTCACCAAAGTAAGTTTACACTCTCGGGGTATGCAAAAGTCTCTATTAACCTCTGCCTTAGGGAACGAGATGGTTCCTGTATTAAACCTATGGGAATTAAAGCATTCAGTCATCAAGGGGTTAAGAACAAGGAGGCAGGTGGTCTTTATCATGTTATCTTTAGAGAGTCAGGAAGGCATTAACTCATGAACTTCCACATAGAGTTATACCTCTCGACTGCTAACAGATCACATACAGGTTCCTTTAAGTCAGGTTATGATGAGAAGTACTATGTACTATTCTAGAGGAACAAAAATGTGGTCTTTCTGTCTTGATTCTAAGCTGTTTTTACTGTATTTAAACATCTGTATTAACCTACCCGTGACAGTAGCCAGAGTCTTGATGACGGAGCAAGAAAACTTGCATTATCCTCTGTTCAGAATCAGGCAGTGTGTTAATGCTATGTTAAATTATATCTGTCAATGCCCTTCTGGCTTAGAACAGCCTACAACATTATTAGAGAGAGTACAATGGGATAGGCGACAGACCCTAACGTAAAAGTCCAAAATCAAGGCTTCTTAAAGGACAATCATCTCCGGGCAAAGGGTGAAACACCATGTCCCAACTAGCGATAACTGTCAAGTATGATTTGTGTGCTGTTTATTTAGACCAATCGGTATCTGCCTGATTTATCTGTAGAGGTTACAGCGGGCCATGTCAGGGGTGCGACTAATGCAAATAGTGGCGGAAAAGTCACTCCCTTCCTCCAGAGCCCGGTGGCATGGAGTTTTGTTTTTATGATGTCACTGTCCCCATTACTAGGGGCAGCGATCCCAGGGAGCATCAGTGGCAGGTACCCCCCCTCCCCTTCACACACACACACACCCATACTGAAATTGATCGTGTTGGCCACTGCCTCTCATCATTGTGCCGCCCCTTCCCCTCCATCCTTTATATGGATTGACACTTGTTCAATCTTAATTGAAAATGGGAGAGACACTGAGTAGGAGAAACATCATCTTTTTTACCAAACAGAATCATCGCTTTTTTATCTTCTGATGTTTATTTGAAGAGAACCCTGTTTCCACATTGAGGTCATGGTAATAAACATTCATCATCAAAGCCAAAGAATTCCAGAATGCATTTATATGATGCAGAAAAAATGGAGTAGATATGGGATGCTTGATGTAAACATCAAACAATATGCAAACGATCAAGATGTATATTCTATAGAGGAGCGTAAATCAAATTATTATTTTGACATCTCTAAACTTATTTTACTTTATGGTCAAGATACATGGTGCCTAGGATGACTGAAGAGTTTTCCATGAATTTTCTGAACCTGCCCTCCATTAGAATAATAGTAGATAGTACCGGTAGTAGTAGTGGTTATTTTACCCGACTGCTAGGAAAGCATACATGCTTGTTAGTAAGCACCCAGAGGACCGACGGCTTAAGGTCCTCTCATAGTTCAATTCTATTCAATTCAAGTCATTTATTTTTCCATTTTTAAAACAATGTGAACACAAGGGGAAAATACGGCCTCAACAAATTACAATATAAAATGATGGGCTGCTTGTGAGCAGGGTTTCAGTTTTACAATATTTCATAGGATCAGAGCATGTTTAACAAAATTAAAATATGGTACAATAATACATAAAATCAAGATGTACAGCATCCATCTGCTCATAAATCACCTGAATTACACAGGCTCACTAGACACACACACACACCCACACACACACACAGCTTGTTGATCATAACAAAAAACAAGGAGGTTCATATAGTACACCAAAGTCAAGGCTATCATTTGATAGAGAGTCGTGATTTATTATTTGCCCTGATGATCCTACAGTATTGATCAATGTTTAAGAGAGCAGGATAACCAATTATGGTTTAGGCAGAAAAACTGTTTGTTTATAAAATAAAGTGTCAGTCAGAAAGGATACAAAATTCTAACAGATCAACATGATGTCTAATAGCCCATTCAGACTAAAAAAAAATTATACTGAAACATGTAAAAAATAAACATTGTCTATTAAGAATAATCAGCATACATGTATATATGAATGGAAGGGGGTATACACTGGAATTACAACATCATATAAAGAAACTAGTATCCAAGAGGTCAGTTTATGTGACAGCTGGCCAATCAGCAATTCGCGCTCACGATAAGCCCCACCCAGTTATACGATTTTTCGTCCAATACGACAACGTTTAGACTAGAGCAAGACCCTGAATCTTTATCAAATTTCATTCAAAGTGATACGAAAGACATTCATTTCACTATATGATGTTTCATTATTTGACGTTTCTTTGAATTCAGACTGAAACAAATGTTTTGACTAATCGTATATTGATACGGTGAAACCTGTCTATAAAGACCACTCAAGGCCAGGAAGACAAGAAAAGTAATCTTCTATATGTAGGTTGTCTTTATGTACAGGTTCCTTTAGTACATGTTTCAATGAGAAACCATTTTCAAGGGAAACAAAAAATGTGGTCTTTCTATACAGGTGGTCACTAAAGCAAGTTTGACTCTACAATGAATTCTGGTTGGGTAAACAGGGGGATAGGGGGAGTGGGAGGAGGGAAGGGGAGGGGTAGAGGGGGGTTAGTTGCATGTCATTAGGAGAGGGCAACATTTTCTAATGGATCAACATGATTAAAATCTGAATTTATATTGGGATGGACCACATTGGTTTTAACTAGAAGGGAAAATAAGGAATAATTGATATTGAGTAATGTAGCAAAGGGATCCGTGGTAATTTAAAACTACTTTATCTTCATAACTGTCACATCCATCAAAAGGTGAAGGGTTTAAATCAATATTCTCTGCTCGTTTCCGTTCATCATCTAATGGTAAAAGTGGCTGTCGTATATATATCATTTGGACATATTTTTTCACATCGATCAAATCGATCCAAAGACTTGGATTTGATGAAAATGTATTTTTCCTTTATTGTCTAAGACCAAACAATAACTTATTCCTTAAAAAATCCCTGAGACATGTTCAGGATTATCTTTTCTAGCCAGACAGATCAGTTTTACCTCTTTCCTTTGAAACAATGTTTCCCTTTGGGTATTTCAATTGTTTTCATATTAGATTCCAGCAATTTGGAAAGAGCTTTTTTTTTTGTAAGTTAAAAATATTTTAAATACAATACATTTGAAGACAGTAACATTACATTTCTATGAATACAAGACACAATACATACATGTATCCCAAGATGTTTATTGGCAACTAAGAATTGCTCCAGAAATCAACATTAAACTCATGATTACTGTGAAATGCTAATTTGTCTGAATGAGAGTTTTACCTATTAAATTCAAGTGTGTCAAAAAATGCAGGGAAAAATAAGGAAATATATCTCCTCAACGCTTTACCTTACCTTTAACAACCTTTGTTGATTTATAATGGTTGGCATCCTGACATGTAACTGACAATGACTAATAGTCTGTCATATTAAAAACAAATGCGCCGGCATCGGCTCTGGTTCGCTGCAAGATCACCTGACCCTGCTAATCTGACCCCTCATACATTCAGCATTCATTTGTAATTCAGGGAAGTGGGACACTTTTAGAAAAACTTGCATGATTGAAAGTTCCTTTCGTAATTGTCATGTTGCGTTATCTATGCCATCTTTGTTGCTAAAATTAGGTCCTGACGAATGAAGGGTTATAATCCAGCTCAGAGTATAGTTTATTTTCTTCCATTCTTTTTTCATACCAACAAATACTAAAGTAATAAACATTTGTAAAACCAATGACATAAGTAATGTTTAAAACATCAACAGATTTGACATAAGAAAGAAGGTATAAATCTTAAAAGCAAAGGCTTCTGTCGATTTAACCTTAATGAACACTACAAATAATAAAAATGACTATGAACCCCTTTCAAGCTGTTTTGGGGGGTTTTACTGGAAAAGTTGAAGCGGTTAAGACTTCAAGAGGATGTTTCAGCTAAAATGGTACACATCCTCACATACAGAGAATAATAATGCAAAATTGCTTCATAAATGGTGAATGAAATTACTCCCCCAAAATTGAGGACGCTATAAGAAGAAGAACTCTAGATGTTACCCAGTGTGGAGTCAACTTCATGCCTCTGAATAAATATCAACCATTGCAGTAATTTCTTGATCAACTGATCAATACATAGTTGTGCAGCTGACCTACAGTTTCTCATTACAGTACAAGAGAGAAGGACCTATGAAGAAGTGACATCTCACATCAAACTCTAATGTTTGCAGGTCTAAATGTCACATGTTCTCCAGAGGTCCTCAAAAAGGTCACCCTGGATGTGTGATGGTTGCGAGAAAGACACTCTAGGTTTGGTAATAACCAAATGAGAATTGAAGAGAAGATTGCATATACTTGTCTCCAGAATTGTCAGGTTTAGTTTTAGGGCTCTTACATAAACAAGGACACATCATTTTTCAGGGAATTTCAATTTTGTTGTTGTTGGTTTTGGGCTTTTTTTTTTTTTTGCATTTGAAAGAAGTAACAAAGTTCTTTTTAATACAAATATGGTACCCTGTCCACAATTTGGCACCCTTCTCACTAATTTCTAAGACAAAAAAAGAGTAGGCCTTTATATGGAGTCTGAAGTGTGAGCCTAGGTCAATTGGTTCATAGAAAAATTCAAGTCAATTAAAACCTCTGAAGACCCATATAGTTTTCATTATTGAAGCGTTTGGTGAAGACACTAATTTGTGTATTAAAGAATACCCTCTACCTTTTAAAAATACTGATTTGCTTTATTTCAGATTTTTTTTAAATAATTTTTTCAATCGTCTTTACATACAAGATATTTGAAATAATGTATTGTGTTCTCGTAATGCCAGACCAGTGCTCTAACATTATTTCAACATTTCTTTATCACTTTTGTAAGATCATTGATAAAAAAACGACATTAGTTCTGATTGCAATTAGGAAGCTTTCATTTAGAGTCTGAACGTTAAGCCTATGGGGCGATGACATATATCTTCATTGGGTCTTATGACCCGAATGACATTAATGCAATCTCAGTATGTGGAAACCACACCTTGATGTATCCTCTGCGACCGACCCGCTCTCTCCCCGCTCTCTCCCCTCCGTCTCGCCCGTCAAACTTCCGAGCTTCCCTATTAGGCTGTTTGTTTACCGTTACCAAGACCCGTTGCCGGGGTCATATAGGCCTTGAGGACCTTTCTGCCAACTCACCCCACTGTCTTGGGGATAATTGTCTTTTTTGCCGAATCAGAGCTCGAGGCAGACTCTGCTTCCCTCGTGGTTCAGATAGAATAATTGAGGGCTGCATCTAACCCATCAGGGTGATGCAAACAAGACTTGATTTGGGCCAGATCAATAAACAAATTTGTGTTTGATAATCACTTTGAATCAAATTTGTAAGCTGATGTAATTCTTGATGCATAGTCACACACTTTAGATGAAGGTATTTTTTATTAGGTGAGATGTTGAGGAGATTGTTTTTAATCACATCACTTGGCATTGTATCATGTTTTAATAATTCAGATTGATAAACAAATTCTGTGTTCAAATGATTTATTAAGAAGAAACTAAATGTGACTTTCAATGAATATCAATGTGTAGGATGATTGAAGGCTTAAAATGTTTGTATTTGAGAGTTGGCATTTATATGACTTTGAAAGATGGATCATATTGTTAACAAAGTTTTATTGTTTCACATTCTTTTGAATGTTTAAGTAGATTTAGTTTACAGGAGATAGTGTTATAAAATTGAATTAATATGCAGTGAATTTACTTTACACTAGCTAAGTGAGTTGTTTTTCAAATATGTGCATTTAATACGAATAGATGAATCCAGCTGTGTTGATGTCACAGAAAGCATAAACACAAAAGTCATGTTTGGAAATCGAAATTTGAACTTGGCAATAAAATATATGGAACTTTCTGGAAGCATGAAACAAGTGGAGAATTCCTGCCTCTCAATTCCGGCAGCAATTAATCTAGTTGCTGGCCTGGAACCAAGCCTCACTATTTGTTTTATCTGTGTTCTCCTCCGCAGGCAAGCCGAGCGCTACCAGAGGAAAGGTCGTGACCCCGATAGGGAGAGTCGTCACCACCGCTACAGGGAACCACCCGACAATTCCAGGGTGAGTCCGTCAAATCTCTCTTCATTTCTTGTAACCACTGCGGCATTCCGATCCCCTCTTTAATTCCAAATCTAGAATGACAGAAGGAAAAAGAATATTAGAAATCTCCGGTTTCTCTCTTTTTTTTCTTCTTTGAATGTGGTTAGGGTGTCAATATGAAGGTTATGGAAGTAGATAATGCGTTAGGAGGTGAGTTAAACTGGATGAGCTCCCAGGTGAGCTCCCAGGTGACATTCCTTCTCATCGGGCTGTGTCAATGTTAGAGGGAGAAAACCTTGAGGATCGAGAGCCCGGTGGTCTTCACTTTTACCCTCCCAAACATGAAAGTGCATTCTGTATTGCTTACCGGTATTCATTTTTTACAAAGTGTAAGTGAATGGTGACTGCACACAACAAAGGTACTAAGTGCATTCACTGAGCTCTGTATTAACAGATACAGAAAATGCATATTAAAATTACTTTTTTTAACACAGCGGCTTACTACTTCATATCTGAACAAGGTTTACCAGTCATGTTAAGAACTCCTGTTTTTTGTGTATTTTTGTATGTGCAAGAAAAGTTGCTAGCTGAATCTGCCAAGAAGTAACACAATTTACAATTTACATCCTGATCCCTTTTTTTGTTTCTCTCTCTCTCAGTGGTACATAACTACATCACTATATAGGTGTAATATATTGTTACTGTGTATCATAATGTGTAATATCTCTTATGTTTTGCCCTTCCTTACAATGCTCTGTCTCTCTCTCTCTCTAGAATTTTACTTTCCATTTATATCTCTTCTTGTCTTCCATTTCCACTCTCTGTACTCTTTTTCTTCCCTCTCCCAACTAGTAATGATTATGATGTACATGTAGATTTTATACATTTGTCCCTTTGTCTGGCTCTCTATCAGTCTATCTCTCTCTGACCCCACCTCTCTCTCTCTCTCTCTCTCTGTCTCTGCATCTCTCTCTCCTACTTGTTGTGATGTGTTTCCCACTGTATCACAGCTGACAGCTGACCTAGTTCTCCATGATCAGCTCTATGAATGGGACCTGTGTGTGTTACCTTTACCCCTGATCATATGGTTAGGTCATTCCCTTTCTTCCCCTCCATCTCTAAACAACCAGAATTCACAAGACGGGAATATCAAAGCTGACCAAACTTTATCAGTCGGACTTCCTTGCCAAAACAAGAAGAAGAAAAAAAGTCCCCCTCTCTCCTCTTACCTTCCCCTCTCCCTCTCTCTCTTTCTCTCTCTCTCTCTCTCCATCCATCTCTTCTCCCCTCTTTCTCTCTTTTTCTCTCTCTCTCTCTCTCTATCTCTCCCTCACATTATCTCTCTCTTACACACACAAGACACACACACCCCACCCAGACTATGATCACAAATCAAAATTGAGAAATGTGTTAGTGTTGACTATATGGAAATGCCTTGTTCACACCTGGACATGCAGAATTTATTGTGAATTTAAAACACTTTCTTAGTGTTGATTATGCATACAAATTGTGTTCACACCTCTCTTAATAATCTACCACAGTGTGGGGGAACAGAACATTTTTGCACCACAGTGTGATCACAAATTGTGTTCACACCTCTTTTTATAATCTACCACACTGTGGTACAGAATGTGTTTTCACACAGTGTGATCACAAATTGTGTTCACACCTCTTTTTATAATCTACCACACTGGTACAGAATGTGTTTGCACACAGTGTGATCACAAATTTTGTTCACACCTCTTTTATAATCTACCACACTGTGGGAACAGAATGTGTTTGCACCACAGTGTGGTCACAAATTGTGTTCACACCTCTTTTATAATCTACCACACTGTGGGAACAGAATGTGTTTGCACCACAGTGTGGTCACAAATTGTGTTCACACCTCTTTTATAATCTACCACACTGTGGGAACAGAATGTGTTTGCACACAGTGTGATCACAAATTTTGTTCACACCTCTTTTATAATCTACCACACTGTGGGAACAGAATGTGTTTGCATGCACCACAGTTTGGTCACAGTGTGGATCTTGAACATATTTTACTTTGGGCCGGTACTGAACTGTACTGATGAAACGCACAATGATCTAATCCCAATAGGCTTTGATACAGGGATTAACCTATTCCCAAATATAGGAGGTAGAATACCTTGAATGAATACATGTACATTAGCACCAGGCGAATATTGAAGTGCTCCCAACCAAATTGATTAGGCAGTTTTAAATGAATATTATGAAAGGATGAATTGCCATTTCTCCTGTCAGTTTAGAACACCGACCTCATACAGATGGGTCTGTGGTAGCTTTGCATAGAAGTCTTTTGCTCCTGAAGAAATGTTTTCTTTCTACAAAATTGTAGCTCCATGCCCGGCTTTGAAAAGCTTTAACCTCTTTACCAGGAGGTGGGTGACCCGTTACCTATGCAGAAAAGATATATTTGTATCTCCACCAACACTACCTTGTCATCATGCATTGCTTTGAGCTGCAGTAAACCTAGATCTTAATAGTATACTCCCACAAGTAAAATCTCAAAATAGAACTGATTCTTTCAACAGATATCCCTTATTAAGGGTGATCCAGCTACTCCTCAATGGTAAGCTGTTAGAGATGTTTTGGGATTATTAAACCAAAGAAGGTTATATGCAATTTCTAAATTATATATGAAGTATTCAAGTTGAGTGCTCTGTAATTTGTTGGCTCATTAAATGTGAGGATAATAATAATGATAATAATGACAATATTTATTAAGTGCACAGCTTCATCTTTACAGATTCCCAAGGCGCCTACAAAATAATTTCAATTCAAAATCTTTCAAAGTAAATCAACTTAAATACATGAAGTCAATGAACTAAAGGTTGAACTGTTAAGAAGATCATGTCGATATAAATCTAGATAGAGAATAGTGTCTCCTGATTTTGCAGATTGACGCAACTCCTACTAATGGTTGTTAGATACATGGAGACTAATGTATTACTAGGTACTGACAGGAACAGGTTGGGTATTTCTTTTTAATATTGTATATAATCCAGGGTCCTCACACCTCCTATTGTGAATACTGAAAATGTCCCCTGGGGCCATAGGGCATGCCCGGACCAACTTGTGGATGTTTACCTATCCTCAAACCCTTGCACTTGAATCCTATGTCGCAGTGACAACCTAGTTCAGAACTCTGATGATTCGATAGATCCATCCTTGTCAGAATGTTTGAGAGGGAGAGAGAGATAAAGAAACCCACGGTCATTGCTCTATGCTAGGGTCAGTTCAGGACACATTGCTACATTTCTCATTAAACTTGAATTTTCCTACACCAAGGCCTTCACCAAGGCCTTCACCAAGGCTTTCAAAAGATGTTCCTCATGAGCGAATGCCCCAGCTTTTACTATAGACTTTATAGTTGAGAAGCATTGATCATATCTCCATTCTTAAAGAGAAAAAAAATTGTCTTTAAGTCATTGATTGAAAATGCATGTAGACTATTACATCAATGTTAAGGAAGAAACCAGTTAATTTTGCATTATTATATTGTGTTTTTGAAAACATCTGCAACTTTTGTAAAATGGCTTGTTTATTACTGCTATCCCAATGATTCCAAAAAACAGATAACATGTACGTCAAACTATTTCTTTGTATAAAAAGCATTGTTGCCCTTTAAAGACAGCATCTACCATCCAAAGTACTCTTCTCTTTCAGCACCTCCATTAAAAGATGAAGAATGTTTACAAAATCTTCTTCTTCCTTCCCTTTTTCTATCTTTTCAGTGGTTTGTTATGTCAATAAATTGCATCCTGACACTTTGATGTATATGTCTAATGATAAAAGTCATTTGTTTTGATTCCAGCCAAACTAGGAATTTGCAATGTTTATCCATTCCTGTCATCTTAACATTTGATATCCATTTCTTGAGGAAAATGGTTGATGTGACAAATGTTATGTCCAATCAACATTCACCAAAATGCTTCCTTTATTTGACATTGCGACTCTTCACGTTCCTCAAGATATATCAGATTTGAGGTTTAGAGTCAGAAATGTTCCTGCCCTTTCTGCTTCTAGTCATTATACCCACCGCCACTTGTTTGATTATTTGGTATCCATATCAAACTTGAGAGTAGATATCGTTTCAATTTATACAAACATTCATGTTGTGTGAAAGTGTAAAACAAATTGCCACAGATACAAAAGGGGCAATTCAAATATTGTTGACAATTCACTGATCTCTTTTTTGATAAGCCCCTAAACATTTATTCTGCCTCTCTTGAAGTGACAGAAAGATGACAGAATGTTTGCAATAGCCAAAGAAATAGGAGCGTTTGATGGAAATGGTAGGGAGAAATCTGGGCCTGAAGCACTTGGGAGTTCAACCAAAGCGCTGAAATTGTATCTCTGTTTTGTTGCATGGGTGCCAATATGTCATTGAGGGTTATGACATTGACTGGAGGGTGTGTACATTGTGTCACTGTTATTGTGATTCCTGTGACAGGGGTTATACAAACAGATAATCTTAAATAGAAGAAGATGAGATAGAGTTAGAATGAGATGAGGGAAGGTGCATCAAGCTTCTATCAAAATCACTCTTTTTACTTCTTTTTTAAAAGTTCAAAAGAGGGTGTAGTTTAATGTATGTTTATTTGAACTTTCATTTTCCTCTCATTTTTTAAAAACTTTATTCTTCTTTGTTTGTCATCCACCTCATCCCCCTTCTATATATTTTGTAAATTGTCATGGTTACATAATATTTTATTTATATAAGTCAAATATGGTTATTTTACTCTTTTTTTCAAGCTGAATTTATTCTTATTAAGGGTATGACGAAAGACCCACAAATCATGCATTAGTTCAAGTGATAAACTACATTAATTATTTCTAACTGCTTTTCTGTTCCAATATAAACTTTTTGACTCTCTCTCTCTCTCTCTCTTTTCTCTCTCTCTTTCTCTATCTGGGGGGGGGGGGGGGTGGGATAGTGCAGGTATCATAAAATGAAATGATTTGTATGATTTTGTGTATTATTATATAAGTACTGAGTGTGTAATTCAATGCTGTATTTACCAAACAATATTTGTATGTGTGTTTCACTGTTTATTATACAGGAACACACCATGCACGAAGTGAATGTAAGTCAGGTCAAATCATATATGGGTGAAGTCATAAACCCTTTTTTATGGAATGCATTTCTACTTTTAACTTGCATGCCTGTTTTTGGACCCATTCCCATTTTCCTAATTAGACCCTCCCCTTGGACCCCTCTGAAGACTGTGTGGCCCCAGTTAGTGGGAACACAGACCTGGGCCTATTAGACTTGGGTCTGGACCTGACCGGTGTAGCCCTAAGTGACCAAGACGAGTTCTTAATGTCCCAGTCTACAAACATGACTAGTATCTATGGAGAATATGACAATCATTCATATGAATACGATGAGGAGGAGGAGGAGGAGGTCGATCTGGGTGTTGAGGGCACGTCTGCTCTTGAAGAACAAGAATTTGAAGATGATAAGGTTTGCATGGTTTGATGAATAACACAGCGTTCTCTCTCACCCACCTACTAATTCTTTGCTGTGAAGTTTGCAACAAGACATCTCATAAGTTTTACTTCAAGCTGTGAACTTTGACACACTTCATTTAGAATATTTGCAGAGTTTGTTGAATTTTTTTTAATTTTGCTTAGAAGTTTGCAAAGGCGTTTCGTAGCCCATAATCACAATTCAAACTGTCTTAAAAGAAAAAGATTTTTTTTTTACAGGAGTGAACACTTAACTAACTAATACTTTGTTGTGTTCTGTGGAAAGCTGAATATGTATAGTTTGAATACATGAGATTTGCCACTTTTGCTTCCATCACTGCAAATTTTATTGATGATTAATTTTGTCATTAAAATGTTTGTTCTCAATGTGTTAACAAATTCATCATGATTAAATCGTTTTGATCATAACATTTGTCATAGATGTAAAGCTACTTAGTACTGCAGTTCATCATTGGTTAAATAACTGTATGTTGATTGATAATAGTATCCTAACGTTGCACTTCAATACTTCTCAATCACACAAGGTAGCTGGAGTCTAGATCTTTGATTACACGTACAGAGTTCCTTGCAAGTTTAAACAACTTTTCCGTTGACATAACAAAAATTATCACCTTGACTCTTACTGGATCATCCTTCCTTTATCCATTCCTCTGTATCCTCTCTATCAATTATTTTATTAAAATTTTCTCCTGTTTTGATGAGTTTTGTACATTTTAGCTGTTCCCTGTTTCCGTGGAGCGGATGAAATTAAAGATGTGACACATGGAGGATTAGGGTTTGGTATTCAGTATCGTTGATTCTCTGAAGGAAATAAGGAAGTTCTTATGAATGTAGGATATGGCTGAAAATCGGGTACAAAAGATTTTATTTTTTTAAAGAAAGTTACGAGGAAGCAGGATAGATATCCAGGTCATCATGGTTTTCTAAATGAACGAGGAATTATTTATTTATATATGATATGATTGAATTCATTCCCTCTTTTTATGAATACAAAGGATAGGAGCATATGCAATGATATTCCATGTTCAGAAAATAGTGGGGAAATTTAGCAAAGCAGTTCACATTTTCAGAATGGTTTAGTAATGGTAAAATGCCCTGTTCGTGGTAGAGGATTGAAAACCTGTTTAATCTTGTGGTATATTATCCCCATGTTACTAAAGGATTGCATAGATGTAGTGTGTACACAGTGGGTGGCATGCCAGAGAATCATATAAGAATACGGTAAAACTGAGTAGTTAAGTTGCACAACTCATGCGTATTCATTGTTCATGATGCATATTAATGTTCCACTTGTAAATGTTGTTATTCAAGATCACTACCTACATAATGGTTTGACTAAATAACATTGGGGTGATTTGGAGTGTGATGTGGGGGTGTGTTTGGAGTATACAGGAAGCCATTGCGGCAGGTGGATAAAAGGAAACAACACAAAGATCGTAAACAAGGAAACTGTTCTTATACCTCATCCTCAATCCCATCCTGCTTATATTTTTTTCCCCATTTCAGTTATGGATAGTTTGCACGCATTTTTGCTATTGTAGATTTCCCTATGTATTTGTTTTGACTACTTTCTGCCTGCTGTTTTTCTCTCCATCACTATTGTCATGGCAATTAAAACAGTACTTTATTATTCTTTAGAGTTACTGTTTCGCCCATCATTTTATTCTGCTTACAGTTTGCCCTCAATTTGACTTTATTTCTCTCTCTGTCTTTCAATTTTCTCTTCTTTCTTTCTTTCCCCTATTCTTCTTAGTTCCTTCTTTTCTCTTTGTACTCTCTTCCTTTTCTTCTTCTTCTTCTTCTTCTTCTTCTTCTTCTTCTTTCTTCTTCTTCTTCTTCTTCTTCTTCTTCTTCTTCTTCTTCTTCTTCTTCCTCCTCCTCCTCCTCCTCCTCCTCCTCCTCCTCTTCCTCCTCTTCTTCTTCTTCTTCTTCTTCTTCTTCTTCTTCTTCTTCCTCTTCTTGCTCCTCTTCTTCTTCTCTCCCCTGCCATTCTACCTCTGTCACTCTCTTCAAATGCCTTATACACTTTCCCATTCTTAACCATTTTGTCTAGTCAAAGTTTCCCTTATAGACCCCTCAAAATCTCGGCCCATCTACGTTTCTTCTCCCAAACCAAGTTTGATATACAGACTATGGATGCCCCTATCTTGGAAGCTAGTGTCTGTCTGGCAAGCATCCCAGAACAATGAGGCAGCAGTCGTAGGGAGCAAACAATCACATTGGTAGCCATTTTTATCGTCCATACCTCTCTGGTCTTGGCTACCCTGCTTCTATGTCACCCAAGAATTTATGAAGACTCCGGTCTTCATTCTTAAGTATTGTTTGGACCTTCTCAAGGTCCTGGTCTTGAACAATGTCAAGGTCTTGGCACTGCATCTGCCATTGTAGTCTGGTCTAATGGGTTCAGACTAAGTCCTCTCTAGGCGCGTCTTCATCATCTCGAGATTGCCAAATAGCCAGCTATTTCTGATTTGGGAAATAATCCCGAAGTAACAAATCGCGTCTTCACAATCTTCAGATTCGACCTCGAAACCTCGAAACTTGAAACTCAACCTTGAGAATTTAGCTTGAGATATTTTGCTCAGCGTTAGCACGTATTTCGGTCTAGTGAAGACGCACAGGACAAATAGCTGGATATTTTGCCAAATAGTGGGATATTTTGCAAACTATCCCAAGATATCTTGGGATGACAATCCTGACCAAATATCCCGCTAATTGCTACTTCGGTCTGATGAAGACACAAATTAGCTGGATAGTTTGCGATCAGGATAGTTCAAATAGCTGGATATTTGGCAATCTCGAGATAGTGAAGACAGGCCTTCTGGTACCCCGCAGAGGTCCGTCCCTCCCGGATCATCCAGAGGAAGTTATAAATGTCATGATTGCATGCAACGACCAGCCAAGATAATAATCAAAGCGTGCCTAGCCCTCCTTGCCCTGCCTTTATAACTATTGTCTGGACACAACCATAAATTAATCATTCCCTTTTATGGACTGGTATTAATAGATGGTTCAATTAATTCCTCCTTTCCTCCCTCTCGATCTCCATAGTTTTCCCATTTCCTTGTCTCTTGTGCTCATCACTATGGTGATATAACTTGAGTGACCTTTTAACCACTTTTTAACTCTTTTGTTTTCATTCCATACACGACTAACTACAAGTGTGGATCAGTTTCTATCATATCTTATACCGGTACTACAATGTATATTGCCGTACATTAAAATATTGATGAATTCAATGACAAAGAGTTTGTGGGGACCAGAACAAAGGTTTTTTTCTTCTGAATTCCATAGAGTTGTGAAAAGAAGTCAGCCACAAATTGAATACTGTCTTTACATAGTGTTAGTTTTTATTTTATTTCATTTTATTTGTGAACTAATACTTTTTGATTTTTTTACCACAGCAGAAAGAGTTGATGCACATACATAAAACTATTTTTATGTGACACCTAATGATAATAATAATGATTGTGTGATTTGACTTGCTAACCTTGTTGATATTTTTCTCATAAATAGCAATAAAGTTTGCACTAGATAATAGCCCAACCATTAAACTTTTTTTCCAGATAGTTTGCAAGTTTTGAAGTGTGCATTATGTATTTGTAGCATGTATTTTATTCATCATACCTCTGTGTTCTGCTGTTTATGACATATATCATAACATGCAGATGAAATCATTGTGCATACATGTAATGTATTAATTGCAAAGAAGCATGTTCTAACATGCAAACAAATTATAACGTGACCTAGCTGTTCTGTCTAGAATTTTAGTAACAGTTTGTTTAAAAGAAACTTGGTTGGAAATGCAGAGGTTTTAAGGTTGAGCAGTGGCACAATGTTCTTTGACAAGATGTTTATCTACATGTGCCACTCTCAACCCGGGTGCCCTAATGGTAGAGTAACCAAAGACAAGGTATAGGAATGCCATAATGACTCGGTAGATGAGTATTTTAGAGGCAAACATTATTATTGTTATTATGAATTTCTTTCTTTCTGGTTCTTGTTACCCCAGGCGATTGAAATGTCGGACATCAGGTACCGAGATAGAGATGAGAGGGGGAAAGGAGGTCCTGTAGATCGCAGGGAAAGGGTAAGTTAACAAGCTGTGGTGGCTAGCTGCAGGTGAAATGTCAGGCAACCAGAGTATTCATCAAATCAATTCTACGATATATCCAGATATAAAGAATGCAGTATTTTATCCATTTTCTCTCATCAACCCCATTAATGCTTTTATTTTGACAATGAAAAGTGCATGATTAACCTCCAAACCCTTTTTTTAACTATCCTACATGAGACAGACCTGTCTCTCATAAGAAATTATTCATGCAAGATTCTTTATTCATATGAGTTTTGTGATTTACATAACAGACCCTTTGGAACATTTGAGTTTAATAAACTGTATTGTTTATACTAAAAAAGATGCATGAAGACGTTTTAAGTCGCTGTTAATTAAGTTTGCTGTAATCTTTTATTGTGTTCACAGAAATAATAATTTCTCACACTTTGTTTTAGTCATTTCTTTTGTTTTATCCAAGATATCTTCCAACTCATTTGCGTTATACATGTTTATCAGAGATGTTGATGTTATGTGTCTCTCAAAGATTAGATATATACAGCTAATCATTGAAAAGATCCTATTTATATTTAAAGGAAACAGTAATAGTTCCCAACTGAAAATACATATTGTGACCATGAAGTTAATGGGTTTATTTGTGATATGAAGTATTTTGTATTCACTGAGCACATTGTATGCATGACCAAGATTTAAGATTACATGCAGGATCATTGATTGACCTAGCTAATCTCATGCTAGCAGACACCTGTCTGTCATTTTATTGCTTCCATCTGCACTTTGTTTCTCTGTTTGGCAGCTTCTCAGTTTTGTGCCTGAAATCACAGAATATGTTTATTTTCAAGATTTAAAAAAAGATCATTTTTAGCATTTATTTTCAATTCCCCAGAGAAGTTTCTTAGTTTGATATTGCATTTCTTTTAATTCATTGATTTCTGTTTTGATTTGTTTATGAGTTCTTATTTTTTATCATTTCTGTTTTATTTTGCCTTTTCTGACAAATCTCATGACATAAAAAGCATTCGATGGACAAGCATGCCATACAGTATTCAAACAACACGACAGGTGGCAATACACCGTACTCTCACTCCGATTACAGCCTGGCCAGGGGCGGGACAGGGAGGGACCGCGAAAGGGACCGTGAAAGGTCCAGCGAAAGGGCCAGACCCCGGGTAAGGCATTCCGTCGCTATTAGTAGCGATGAAGTGCCGTTCTCAGACCGGGAACGCTTTAGCGAAGAAAGGAGACATTACCCTGAACGTGACCGTGAGAATGCAAGCAGAGAGAAACGACACTCCTTACCTCCCGTTAACAATTTTGACCAAATGGAACGTCCTCGCGGGAGGCCCCCTCAGTCAATGAGCCAAGGTGGGCTCAGTGGCCGATCGGGCAGTAGCGATGGACATGGAAGCACTGGGAATAAAGCTATAGATGCCATTCTCAAAAAGGGTAGTGATATTCGGGCCCAAAACAGGCAGGATCCAACCGGTCATGGCCAAACACCTAGAGATGGCCAACCTAGAGATGGCCAACCTACAGATAGAGAGAGAAAGATGGGAATTCCTAGACAGCGTCCCAGACAAGGGTCCCTACCAGCTCCTCCTATAACCGGATCCCATAGCATGCCTGCCTTTGATGACGGGCGCCCAACCAGACAAAGACATTCTGTTGGTTCTCCTAGCATGCCTGACTTCCAGGGCAGGGGCACTCCTCGACAACCTGGTGGTGGGTTCACCAGCACCCCTGCAGGAGACGACAGAAGAGACCAACGCAGACCATCTGGTGAACCGTCTTCCAGAAAACGATCGAACCGACACGATGACGCCTTAATAGACACTAGACCGCCTCAGCAGGACATTATACCGGAAGAGGACGAAGGTGTTCCACCTGACGGTAGTGATGTCCTCCGACGCACAGCGCGCAATAATAGAAAGAATAGCGGCGGCCATCTTGGTCAGTACCAAAAGTTTGATAACTCCCTAGATAGTGAGGAACCCCCTTCCCAAGCCCCCGGCCAGGATGTGAGAGGAGAAAGAGATACGGTGGAAGGTAGCTACTATAACGAGGATGCTGTATCCTCCAACAATCGTGCATCAAACTACGCTAGACCAACAGAGGTGATTGACTTGTCTTGTCGTCTCTGTTCTAGTTATAGCTCAGTTGGTCCTAAATCTAGATATCCCCCTTCTTCTTCTTCTTCTTCTTCTTGACACCCATTCTCTTCCAATAGCCCACAAGTAGACCCAGTGATTTTGACTTTCTGTAGTTGTTTGATCTGAGCTAAGAATGGATATGAAAATGGAAACATTAATATAAAATCAATAGCATATGGACCTTCATCCTTATCGTAGTGTGCATAGAAGAATTAATGTATTCATGTTCTTTGAATGCTCTTATTACAGGTATGACATAATTATCTAGCTATTCATAATTCTGTATACATGAATATACTTTACCGTTTGCTTTATACTCTTAAAATCTGAATAAGATGTATTTGAAACTATTATTATACAAATATATTTATCTATTTAAATATATACATATGTCTTTAAACATAGAGCACAGGGTATAGAGGAGTAATACAAAAATAAACTTTTTCTTTAGTAAAATTAGAAAGAGATGCATGCTTGAAACATGCTTATATTATATATATATTCCATATTCTCCGTTTCAGATCCATTCTAGCTTAGGTCAACTCAGAAAATGATGTCACAAGAATGCTTCACTCTGTTGACTACTTAGGATAAAAAAATTATCTAAACTCTGAAGTATTATGAAAAAATATGACCATGGTAGAAACATCATTTGTCCTCATAGACTGTTGTTGGAGCAATTGGTTTTAAAATTGCAGCCACAGTTTTCTTTGTATTCAATTATTTTTCCACCTTTCTTCTTGCAGATGTGAAAAGAGCAGGTACTTACTTTGTCACTGTTTATTTTTTAAATGCTTTAAATTAGGTCCACATTTTTATTCAGAATACATGAAACACAGTTATTTTTAAAATGTGAGAAAACAAATAAAATTGCAGATAATATCTTTTGGTAATTATAAAAAGAAAGTCTCCTTAACAAAATAATCCGGCGGCTTCAAGTGCACATGATGTTTGATGTGATCGAGCTGGGCATTCTTGTGATTTTATCATTCTCTCTAAGACTACTTCAACTCACCATTCGTAAAATAAGACAATTGAAGGGCAAATCACTGTATGTATGTGTGTGTGTTTGTGTTTGTGTGTGAGGGTGTATGTATGTGTGAGTAAAGACAGCGTTCTAGAGACTGGTCCAAAAGTTTAGGTTTTAAACTCATGAGTTTTAGGTTTGGTGTTTGTGTAAAGATGTGATGTCTGTCTCTTCTTCTTTCTCATATTCTCTCTTTCTCATATTCTCCCTTTTTCTAAATCTCCTTGATACTCATTATTATCTGTGGTAGTTCTGTTTGTATGGATATAGAAAAAAGCACTGGTTATTAAGAGATAGTAGATGATAAATGATTTAAGATTGAGATTATTAAAAATAGGTCTAAACATGAGCATATGCAGTATCTCAGAAAGTGAAGTAGTTATAACATAGAACTAAAAAGTTAAGTAACATCAAATCTGCTCTTTTTTGTATTAATGAATGACATATGACACATTACGATGACATCCATTTGTCATAGTTTGTAATGATCTGTCCCAAGAAAAATATCACTCAGCACCCTGATTAAGAACAGATTCAAGGAAGCTCAAATTTCACTCGAATGAAAGCCGTCATTTGCTTAGCAGCTGCATTAGACTATCGTTTGACAGCATTAAAGAAATCAGTTGCAGGCTGCAATACTTGGGGTATTCCATTCTAATCTTAATAAAATGAATGTATGTAAATGTACAGCATCATTCAATTACCATGTTAGAAAATAAGTCATTTGGAGACCAGGAAATTGTATTCTGGTGCTCTTTCTCATATTTGCACTGATAGAAGCTTAAGTGTTTTGTTAGTAAACCAAGTATCCAGAAACAAAGATTGTTCAGAATGTGAATTCTTTAGTAAAAACTTGGTAGCATAATTGTTTTGATAAAACAAAATAAGATCAGAGAGTCTCGCAGATCACTTAAGTAGATAGTTGAGTAGATTCAATATACCTCACTATGTAGCTTTTAAACCTGTAAGTTATCTTCAGAACATATGAACTAAGCAGTGTTTCATGTCACAGTTCTAGTTTAATTTTACACTTGGCAGAAATGTCTCACCTTAGATCTTTCCCTTCAAAATATGATTGTGACTGATATGATGATCCTGTAATGATAATTTGAGCTACATCAATTTGAGTGTGTGTATTGATCAGGCAGGTATGCGATGAAACTCCCCAAATGCTTACACCGACAACAAAAAAGTTGCCTCTCCTTTTGCACAGCAAAGCCATGAAATAAACCCTTGCTGGTAATGTTTGAACCACAAACACTGCGCTATCGTAAATGATAATAAATGTTTTACCCTCCATTGTTTGTGATTGTGGTGTGTCAGCATGAATGTTGCTCATCTATACCAATAGAGGGAGGTTTAATTTGACTGGAAGTACTAGTTGGCTATTAATTCAATTCAGAAAGAAGCATAACGTTTAATGCCATATGGCACCCCATGTCAGCTGTCTTGTAGTGGAGATATGATGATATTGATTCAAGACTGATTAATGTTTGAAGAAACAGCATGTAATAATATAAATTAACTCTGCTACATGTATTTCTAGTCAAAGTAGATAGCCCTCTTTTGGTCAAGATAAGTGAAGAATTTATTCCTTTAAATCGAAGAATGAGCCTTGATGTTTTTCATGTATAAAGTTGTTAATAATCTTGACACTGAAAAAAATCTATTTTCGAATCCACAAATTACAGCGTTCAACGTGATTTGTAAGGAGGATGGTGACATTTACAATAATTCAACACATCTGTAAACAATATTTAGTTTGGGGTCTATTTACCAGTAGAAATGTTGCTAAATTTATAAGATTTGTTCTGTTGAATTTAGCATAACAAAGAGAGTGATTGTTTGATGGAAGACAAGGGGCACATACCCTTTTTTGCTTGTTTTGCATGCGATTATAGATTCACTCCTTCACATCCCAAACCTTGCCCAACTTAACTTCTTTTGCTGCTTTATGTTTGATTGTTCGCATGTTTAAATTTCATTCTTCCATTTATTTTTTCCTCATGTTCTATCATCGCACAAATATATAATTTGAGTTACTCCACAAATTGTTTTCTTTCTCAATGCATCAATTATTTTGCACAGGTTTTGCTTTTTTTTTCTAAAAGCATTGATTCTTTTCTTAATTCCTAACTTTTGCAAGATTTTCTGATTTAATTTTACATTCATATGAAATGCTGAATTGAGTTTCCATGATATATAATCTTCAAGTTAATTAATTCATCCATTTGGTTTTTATTATTAATTGAATTTATTTTGGATTGATAGTGACATACCATGCAAGCAGGAATGTCTAATGTCTAACCTGTGTTTATTGGTTTCCCATTGCCCCCTGCGTGCTTCCGTAAAGGGTGCTAGTAGTAGTAGCCGTCATGAACGGCTCGATTCCGAGGACAGCGTATCATCCTCACAGCCTCTCTTGAGTCCAGGTAACACTTTAAAGCAAGCTTATGCACACTGATGACATCAATCAATCTTCACTCACTATGTTCACACTGTAGTTACATTGTGTGGTGGTGTTCCACATGGGAAATTTACACTGTGATGGTATTATATCCTCCTAGGTTGTGATGAATCACACAGAAAAGCCATTATGTGGTACCCTGTTTGATTTTCCTATGTGATGGCATTCCTTAGGGCAAATACATAATGTTTCCACACTGTGGTTTTGCTATGTGGTAGCTCCCCACACAGCAAAGTCACACTGTGGACATAATGAATTTACTATAGGGTAGCGTACCACACAGGAAGTCACATACTGAAGAAGAGAGTGATTTCTTTATGTGGAGGATGTTCTAAAAGGAAATCATGCCGTGTCCACACTGTGGTTTCTTATGTGGTGTTCCACAGTATGACTTCCTTATGTGGCAACATACCGCACAATAAAACTAAGGTGTGACATGCCGAGTGGGCTTCATTACACCCATTATGCACATTGCGTTAAGTACTGTGGACTCGTGCTTTGTGAGTCCACAGTGTGTCTACTCTTCCCATGCTCACAGTCTACCACACTGCTGTTGTTGTACCTAGCCAGTGCAAAGTCTCTAGTTTTGAGTGTGTGTTATGTTCGTTTGCTGTGACAGTAGGGTGTGTAACACCTTTAATTGATCTGTGAATTCTCTAAAGAACATATCTCCATTGTTAACTCATGCCTGAACAAGAAAGTTAAAACTGAGCTTCTTTTGAAGGGCATGGGGTGAGGAGCGGAGCATGTTCTAGTTTTCTTTTGTAACATCTAATAAGTAAGCTTTCATCATGATATGTGTGCAACAAATCCTTTCAGCAACTCTCATTCTTTCTTGATAGCCACTCTCTATACACAATCCAAGTCTCGAATATTTCTGACTTGGATTTAAACCAATAGTCATCTTCAACTATGTGACATCTACATCAACACCATAACACTGATACACATACAATACATACTCTCTATTCAACTGGCAGTTCCACTATTATTTGCTTTGGTAATTTTTATTTATGTAATTTCCTATGGTTGGAATGAAGGAAACATTTTTTTTTTTATTGCAAAGTTCCTTTTTTTTCCTTTGAATGGAAAATCTTATTTTTCCAGAGCATATTAATCAAGTCTTTGCTATGTGAAATGATGCGTAAATTGTCACTTTGATGTATATATATATTTATCACTTTGCACAAGAAATATAATACATGTATTGACATTTGTTAACATGTACAACTTTGTTTAAAACTGTTTTTCCTAAGTATGTGTTTATTGTATGTGAATAAGCATGTAACATGTTTTATGTAAAGAAAAGCACTATATAACAATGTGTGTGCATGGTTCTACTCAAGTCCATTGAATGTTGCATATCCTTGGGGTTTCATTCTGTGTTTAACCTGTTAACTACCAAATTCTCTTAGCCCCGTAGGATCAGTACATGCATCACTCAATTTCAGTACGCAATGGGTTTAAATTTTAAATCACTCTGAATAGTTGGTCTAAAATGTGTTAACCATATTTTATGATTTCAATTCAGATACAGTGTATGTTAATGACAAACATCTCAGTTTCGGGGAGCTAGGGGGGTTACTATACGTTTACTGGTACTGCTTTACGAGTTCCCAACAATACATTACCCCTAAAGTTATTTCTTCTATTAATTTAGTATTAATGGAAGCATTGAGCCCCCTTTTGGGGGAAAGGGGGGGGGGGTTCTAAGTTGGTATTAAGTTTCACCAAAACTATTTGTGCTTGTAGAGTATAGTTTTCAATAGTGTGAGTGAGTACAAGATCTGTTTTTACCTATCGGTACAAATCTTTGAAGGATATTAGTAACCTCTTTGACAACCAACCAATGCCCTGTTGAGGCAAATGAACAGTACATTGGTTCACTATTAACCATTTTACCCTTAATTCATGTGCCAGGAAGATTAATCATGATAAAGGAAGAGATTTCAATTTTGACAGATTGATTAAGGCATAAAAACCAATGCCAAGAAGGCGTAGGGGAAATTAAGATTATTTACAATGAACCTGAAGGTGGAACTAATTCTGTTAGACCTAGTTCTTGCCAAAGCATCCCAGGAGGAAGAAATCTATCCTATTTGGCATTTCTGCAAAATTACAACTTTATAAAGACCCACACTTTTCTACCACATTCAAAGGGATAAATGGAAAACAGCAGACATACTGTGCTAATCAATCAAGCAATCAATTACAAGTAAATATTCAGAATTTACTGTTCACATGAAGATGAGAGGATGAAGATATACACTTTATTCTATTTTCTCGTGGTTAAAAACAAAGGGGGTTCATGTCTTTGATAATAAGTATTTTTGATAGAGTGAGTTAGTGTTTCATCATCATTTGCTAAATGGGAAGGATATGTTAACAGTAAAGAGGGAATCCTTGAAAGAAAGAAAAAATTGCATTTTGTACCTTGCACCTTGTATGTGTCTTCACTTTATTAGCGTTTACTGTAGCTGCTTGTTTAAATGTCTGATGTCATTTTTGTGGTGTTTAACATCTCCCACATTGAACTAGATTTGAAATCAAATGCTCGAAAACTGGCATTTGGTCAATAAAGTAAAATTTTCTTCTAATTTTGCCTGAGTATTGGCTAATCTATTAATCTATTGATCCAATTTTGTTTATTAGAAGGATAATGCAGTCATAGTAATGCAAAATATGATAACTGTTTCCTTTTTTTCAAAGATAAAAGAATATAGGTCAATCAAATCAAATTTGAAGAGTTATGGGATAGCAGTTTATTATGATAAAGATTTACCACTTTTGTACTTCTTCTTTTGGGACAATCATTTTTTATAATAAATGTCAGTAGTTTTTTTCTAAGAAATTTGTAAATTTGAATGTTAATTGCAATTTAATTTATCAGTATAATTCAGTATTAATGTAATTAACAGATTATCTTTCTTTGAAGAAGGTCTACATTTTGTTTTTGTGTACATCAAACCATGCAAATTGAAATAAAAGACACCCATAGATGTATTGTTTTATATTATCTGTCTGTAAAGTTTATGTATGTATTTCAAATTATTTGAATATTTATTTATATTTTTGTACTTGCTTATATATTTCTTTAAAATAACATAAAGTGTTGGTCAGAGAAAGGGATTTGAAGAAAATACTCTGAAAATGTAGATCTAGAAAAGTAGCTCAACTAAAATAGTGCGCAGCATGTTCTGAATCAGTTCATATTATCAATTTGAATAGAGTCATACATTTTCAAAATGAAACTCTGGAAGAATTTTATTCTGATATATTCACAGATAATGAAATCAGTGATAAAATAATATTTTTTTCTGTGGATTGTTTTCTACCATCTGGTATATATCTGAAAACTATCACAAAACTCAAGCACATAAAGTATGCTTACCCTATTATCTTTACCAACACTTTGTTGACTTTATTTTGTGTAATTGTTCCCTTTTATTTGTTTTATGTTATTTTAATTTGTCTTCTCGCACAAGTGTATATAGCCTAAAATGTGATTATTAAGTAGTTTCCATTCCATGTTTTCTTCAAATGAAATTAGAAATGTGGAGAGATTTTACTTGAATCTGTTAAACTAATCATTTATCTTTGCAAATAACTACCGGGTAGTGATATTTAGAGCACTTTAACAAAAAAAAAATCAATATTTATATATTATATATATATATATATATATATCACTTAAGGTAAACTTTACTATACATTCTTCATACTTTAAATATGTCTGTCAATCTTTGTAGTTTGTTTTACAAATCAAGTTCAATTAAAAAATTGGTAAATGTTTGATTAGGAATTGTTTGGTACAGATGTATTTCTGTAAAGTCTTTAGTTGTTGAAATATGTTATTAATATACATGAAGCTCTTTTATTTCAAGATTATTGATAAACCAATTTCATGAGGTAAGTTTTGTTGACTAGGCGTATATATAGAGATATTATGAGGATGAGGTGTGATAATATGACTGTTTTATTTTGATTTCAGGGCGGTCCCCGTCTCCTAGGAGAAGAGCACCTATAAGCACTCGTGATGTATCCCCTCAGCGGTTTCCACCTTCCCACTCCCCTTCTAGCAGGAGGAGGGACAGGCATCGTGGTCCAGACTACGTTGAGTTCCATGACAGGGACATGTATGACGAGCCTTCTTACGACGACCCGTTTGGACCTGAGCGCTCTGGAGGAAGTAGTCACCGTCGCCCATCCCCAGGATGGAGGGAGCCTAGAGATTTACTTCAAGCTGGCCCTTCTCAGTCACGAGCATCAAGTAGCGAGCGGATGGACCCTGAGAGTGCCCAGTCTAGCCCACCTTCAAGGAAGCACACCGGTCGCAGATTACCCACAGTTCCAGGTGAAACCCGCGGGGGCGGCGGTGGTGGTGGTGGGGGTAGCGTCACACCTAGGCAGAGGCAGCGTCCCACTGTACCACGCAGCAGAGACCATAGTCCTATGAGGCTACCACCACCACAGCATGGTGGACGTAACAGCGGAGGGGGTAGCAAGGGGGATGTCAGACTCCAAATGGATGAGAGACCTCCTCATTATGATGTAGTGATGCGAACTCAAGACGCGCCTTCTCCAGACCAACATGTAGACCCCCGTATGCCTAATGGCTTTAGACCAGGGGGTGTGGAAAAGGGGCGTGGTCATGGAACGCAGGGACATAGCCCCCGTAGGACACCGCAGGGTGTACCTAGAGGACCTGGACGTAAACATGTGACTGATAATGGACAAGGTGGCAACGGTGGGTACTCCGATACTGAGGAGGATGAGTGGGCGTGATGTATATAGTCAATTCAATTCCTTCCACTTTTTTGACTTTTGAACATTTCAATCAAAGTATGTGACAGTGCTTCTCTTTTGAATTGCTAACTTGTGTAATTCTATATATTTGATTTATAACGTTGCAATGAATGACAGTGCCATGTAGTCTTGCAGATGAGGAGAGTTCTGAATAGCAGTAAACTTAGCCCTTTTCTTTGAGTATTCTTTAAAAAATATTGCATAGAAATTCAGAATACTTGATGTGCAAAGTACAGGTTTTGTAGATAATACTAGCTTATAAGCAAGCTGACAGAATATGTATTCTAGATCTGAAACCAGTTCTTTGGTCTTTCCATTATGATTTATATGATCCCATATTGATAATTTTTGTCATATACATATACATGTTTCATTTGAAAGTGTGTGATGGGGGTGCCGCCATCCACCCTATATGGACTTAAATACCATTACCAATTCGTTCTTTTTCTTATACTCTCTCGAGGATGATCTAAACCATTTACCCAATATGCTCAATTCCTTATGGAGCATGCATAAGACATATTGATCAGATGGGGGTATATGAAGCATATATTAACCTGTGTGTCATATAGCTTATGCTTGGAGATCATATGCATTGAAACTTAAATCTCCCATGCAATGGGGCTTCAGTGCAATTAAATATGAGTAGCTTACAAAAATCTTATATATAGATCTGTAACATACCCAGTAGATATTTGCGGTGATCGGTTTTCTCCACTTTCGGATGGTAATGGCAAATAAAATTCACACAGGCATGTAGCATATTGTAGTTATATTAATATCATATATACTATTTACAGAAAATTAATACATGTATTTAAAAGGGCCATAGAAGTGTAAGTAGCTGAATATGTAAATGAATTTTTGAGAGGTTAGTACGATTCTGATTATATCTATTATATGGGACAAAAAAATGGGCCTGCAATAATTATGTTGCATAATTTTTCAAAGTGTAAATTACATAGATGTATGAAAGATTTGTTAGGGAATGCAAATGATATAATGTACCCCTAGCTGCACAGATTAAGAACTCCTGAACAATCACAATGCACTTTGAACAAAGTAATAACATATGAGTTTCTTCCACTATCCCCACACAATCCATTTCTCTATCATTAGCTATTCTATCAGCATCATATTATGTTGTCATATCATAAATTTCTTTGTCCAATATTTTGGAGAGATTTTAATAATTGTAGGAATCTCCTATAGTAAATATTTTAGTTGTTTCCTTTATACTTGCTGAATAAGTAATAATTGAGTTTTGAATGTGTTTTTTTATAAATATTATTTCTTTGATATGCTTAATGTAAGCATTTAAGTGCCATTAGTTTGCTGTTTGTATGTCTTTTATTATTTTGCAATGGTTCAAGCCATAAGCAGGGTCTGCCATGCGTTCTACCAAGGAACCATATTATTGTTAAAACAATTATATTTCTTCCTTGCTTTTCATGTACAGTTTGTTGATGAAAAGTTGACTTTCTTCTTAGAACAATGTACATGTATATGAGGTAGTGCATTAAGAACGCATTGTTGTTTTATCAATCTATTGTACAGATATATTTATTATGCCTATCTACAGTATCATGTTATAACATGATCGTTGTGAATATATTATATATAAATATATATATAATATACATATACTTATATACATGAATTATTGCCATAGCAATTTTATAACATATCTGAACTTCTGTGTACTTTCTATTCCATGTTATGATATTGTTGCACAGTTGATAACAACAGAAGCTTTTCAGGATGTATTATACATAGCATCGTAACGCGTTCAGCACATTCCATAAGTAACAGAAACTATCAAAAATGTGCAATCGTCATTATTGTAGGAATCATTATTTGATTTTTCAACTATAACCAGAATTAGAATCATCCCATAAAGTGCATGCAAGCACAGCAATGGCTGAAAACAAACTAGAGCATGAAATATACATCGATAGTTTGGGTCGTGTGAACCAATATAAACTGGTTTATTGCAGTTAAGCTTCGCTCGAACTGCCGCTGGGAGTGGTTTTCAACTGGGCATGTATAGTTGGAACCTTCCCCCACCCAATCAAGTAATTGTCATGTATTTGTAGTATAGAATGTAAACATTAAGTAGCGGTCTAGTAACAAACTCTAACCAGTTTTATATTGGTTATGACGTGAAGTCGGTTTTGCAACAATATTTTTTTGTTTGTCTCACTTTGCTCAGCAGTTTGATGTATGGTATCTATAACGATATTAGCCATGTCATAAAAGATGTTTCACAACTTTGAACAATAATCATGTTATCCCAAGTCTTTATGAACACAGCAAGTGAACTATTCAGTGATTGCGTGCAAATGTTTACTCTCATTAGGTAACATACAATGATATTGTAGTCAGTTACTCATGTATATATTGAATCATGTATAGGTGTGTGCAATTTTCAGTCTTTAACTTCATAGCGATCGAGAAAGAGAAGAGACGATAGATTCCTAGTTTTTGGATATTTTCAATTCTCAGTTTATCTGAATGATTTAAGTGCCTACATAATTGTAGAGCTTTATATGTTTTATGTGACTGGTAGGATAAAGGGGGGACGTGGGGTATCTCCCTCCCCCCTTCTCTACTGGTCTCGGGTGCTTCATTATTTGCCATGGCAGGTTTTTTAAGCCAATGTTGAGTATCGTATGCAGTAGATTTTCTGTTCTTCTTTGCAAGGGATTGTATCTTTCTATACATGCAATTCTGAGATCACCTCCCCTTTACTGATGTTCTTTTGTTTTTAGACCGACAGACCTGAGCAACATTGTTTCAGAATTATTTCTGAGTTGTCTAGTGATGATTTGGAAAGGGATGGATTTTTATTACCAGTAAAGGGTCTCAGTTTTACCCTGCTACGTATTTGTCATTGTGTACCTCAGATTGTATCAAATCTTGTTTATTTTTACTTGTGATTCAGGTCATTTTACTCTCAATGTATATGCTTCTTTTTTTGTACAATGTGGGCAACTGTATAAAAGTAAATGGAAACAAGTCATAAAAGAGAAATTGTAACCATGGAATTACTAATTAGTCTCATATTTACGACCAATTACACATCCTACCTATGTTTTTGACTTCACAACTGAGAGCTTTGAATTGACAAGTTATAAACTAATTTGAGCAATTTTTTCGAGAACAAATCTAACTAATTTTACCCTCTTTAAATTTGACTTTTAAAAGCAAAGTAAAATATGTACATAATGTCTGTTAGATAATGATGTATTCTTCCATAATTATGTTAATATCTACTATAAAATGCATGGGCATATTGTTACCCAAAATATTGGTTTTGAATGCTATTGTACTCACATGAAATACTTTTTATATAATCTGAATGATATTAGTGAAAAAAGCATATAGAAATGAGTATTTGTATGTCAAGTTATTTGTTTAATGTATTTGGAGTATTGTGCTATAATATTCCTCTTTAGTGCCATAAGTACACATTACATGCACTACGAGAGGTACCATTTTTTGTATGGAATGATCATAGTCAAGGCATTATGAGCTACTTCTAGATAGCGTTACCAGTCTTGATGAAACCATTCCAAGCACTCTGTATAATATCATATCTGATCTGCATACCATCATTCCTATATAACTTATTGTGTACCTGGCAGGTTTCTTACCCAAACAAAGTCTATACAAGACTTGTGGAATCATACAATACAATACGTAATGTTTGTTGTAGGGGTATTCAACATCACTCCCCCATCCTCTCTGATCCTATTTAGCTTGGGCACATTTTCTACATGTATAGCAGATTCATGTGTCGACTTTTGTCAACATTTATCATTTTTTTGTTGATTTACAAAGAAATATCAAGTCTAACTATGCAAAATACTGTTATGTTCTGCTGCTTTTATTGTAAACAAATTATTAGGTTGATGAGTTAGGTTTTCTTTTTGCTTTTTTAGAGTTCAAAGTAGTTATAATTTTTACTTGCTTGAGTAGATAGGAATTTTTAAATGTGTTTTTTATTTTATTTATTCTGTACTGAAATCAACACCCTATATGTCCAACAGGCACATGTACAGAAACGTTACTCTAGTAAATAAAATAAATACTCTTGTAAATCAGTTAATCAATTGCATAGTGTATACAACCATAACCAGTTTTCGCTTTTTATCTTTCACTCTGTTACCTTTCTTTCAAAACACTCAACAATTTTGTATTCCAATGTTTGAAGACGGTTGATTGGGTCAGTGGTTTGGCACAAGAATGGGGAGGAGGAGGAAAGCATCCAATGGTTGTCATGACAGCAGAGGATGTATTCTCACAGAAAACTTTGTACATAGATGTGGGCAGCACCGTGACCCTGCTGGCGGCCTGGCCTGGGCAGCTATTGGATGCGAAAGATCTCCTTCTGATGCCAAGCCTCTGCTTCCAAATTTGATGGAGGGGTAGATCATATACAATCACTAGGCCAGCATTGGACATATCCTCTTGTATGTTGGTATGGTTTTTTGAGAGAGTAGGGTTGGGCACCAGACAAAGTGGAAGTGTCCTGAAAAAGAGGATTCCATATGAAAATTGATTAGAGGGAGGGGAAGTTACTAAAACTAACAAACCAGACATGTTTCTCAAGTAATATCCTTGACATTTATAAAGCTGGCATTACAGTTCCCATAACTTACTGCTATGGATCCAAATGATTTGGTTAAAGCTTTATTAATTTCACATTGGAAGGACTGAAAGAAATTGTAGGAAACTCTCCTTCCCTGCTGAATCATTAATTTTATATGATTGCAACATGAAATCAAAACAAACATGAAGTATACATTGGTAAGCTATTAACCCATCTCTAGAAAACAAGGCGATATCAAAATCATAAAGGGTAGCAAGTAGCACCCCCTCCCTCCATGCATTAGTGGTGTAATCTTCATTCAAGTGAAATTTGATATGCATGATGCATTGTGAAGAACATATCTGAACCGTATGACGAAAATGTTTGAGATGTTTATTGTGCAGATTGGTGATTTGCACTTGCATTTCAAGATGCTAAGTTTATGCAGTGGTTATAAATAAGGGGGAAGGAAAAAAAGTGTTTGATCTACAGCATATCCGAGGGACAGAGGTCTCAAGGTTGCTTGTATCATTCTTTTTGTTTTCATTTTTTTTTCTTTCATTGATTATTAGTAGAAATGTATGAGCTTTAGAAGAGTTTTTCTATTTCTTTTGGGTAGTTTTTCCCCGAGATGTATGAATTCACTTATTGTAATTATACTTTCTTTTCTTTATTTACTGCTTTCATTATCGAGAACATCTGCAGAATTTTTGTTCTTACTCAGTTTGCGATCAAATTATTTGATTTGTTGAGTGAAATAAATAATATGCCAATTTGCACAATTATGAAATATATTTCCTGTGACTGACTTCTCCTTCATTGTGTGATCTTAATTGATATAAGTGCCGACATTTCCAGATTTCCTTTTCTTATCCATGTCTTAATTGGCTGCCATGTTCTTCAGATCAAATAGGATGACGTCATGATTTATAGGTCTTGAATCACTATAGATTATCAAAGGTATAGTAACTCAATATTGGAAAGTTTTGTCCGTCAAAAAAACACTCAAGTTAAACATATTTTCTTGATCTAATGCTGATGTTGGCGACTGCTTAATTTAATTTTCTTAAAGGTAAAGACCAGTTATGGTCATGCGATTGCATTGTGAAAAAAACTTTGTGGAATCGATCAGAAAAGGTTGATCATCTAGCATCTAGCATCTGCAAGGTTCTGGAATCATCAAAATGATAAGAAATTTTGCCCATTCTTCGTAAAGTTACAAGCACTATACACAGAAAGATGTATATGGGACTACCCTATATCTCTCACAGACCATGAGAGAAACAAATTCACCAAATATATGAATTAGTAGGCGGTTTCCCGGCAAATTTTTTATCATCGTGTATTAGTCAAAACATATTCTTTCACATGATTGGTAATGAGAGCTTCCATTTCATTTTTTGAAATTGGGGTGTTTCCAATACTGGTCTTTACCTTTAAATTTGTCCTATTCCTTCAAAATTTGTATTGCCTTTTAGGCAGATGAATCAAGGGGAGGAAATAGAAGGGGAGAGGGTAAGAGAGACAGCGCGAGGGAGAGAGAGAGTGGGAGGGAGGGAGGGAGGGAGAGAGAGAGAGATAGAGAGAGAGAGAGAGAGAGAGAGGAGTAATAATGAGGTTAAGATATAAGAGCAAAGTAATGAAGTAATACTGTCCAATGTGAAATATGTAATGTAACTACGAATATAAACTTCAAATGTATATATGAATGTACATATGACTTTACAAATTCAATATAAATACACAAGTATAAGTATAACGATTTATACATTTCAAACTGATATCATCACTTGTGTTCCATAATAAAAGGTTTGCTATTCAAGCATACTTTTATTTCTTGGCGTGCATGATTGTATACCCTATTTACATCATTCATATCATTCCGAATTATAATCTAAAGTAGGCCTACTCCCCCTTCTCTCTCTCTCTCTCTCTCTCTCTCTCTCTCTCTGATTTTGTTCCATTCCACCCACAGTTCATCTTTGTAATTTGTATTCGTTTTAATCATGGTATTGCAGCAATCAGGCATGCGTGTCTTTATCACATCCAGACTACTAGTATTTATCATAATCGATGTTTGTCGGGGTCCGGCGGAAGTTTCTCCTCGGTTGTTTATGGCAATCAAAAGTTAAAAGGCCACATAAGATAATAGCAATTATACCCACCCACCTTCAATTACACACCCGTTTTCCCTATCCCGGGTTTCCTATTGTTGGGTAGGTAGGGAGAATGGCAGAGGAAATTTCTAGGCCTACTCAAAACGATTAAAACATGTCGAAAGTCCAACGATTCGGGGGAATTCGGATATGAGATCTCAGACAAACGCGATTAAATATTAATTAGCGGTCGGTCGGATCAATGACGTTTTTCAAACTTCGATGGTTATCTTTGGTTTGGATTAGAAGATTTGAATTTAATTGAGGCCATATTATTTTATTTGGCAAAAAAAACACAGCTAGAAATGAACGGTTGTACAAACTTTAATAGTTACAATGGCAGGGAGAGAAAGGTTGCACACCAAAATAAATAACTGTGACATTGAGGCTCAATTGATTCTCTTCGATCCCAGTTTATCATATCATTAAGAATTAAAAAAAAAAAAAAAAATCAATAACAATAATGAATTATTCTGTAATCACGAGAGGGGATTAGGGGGAAAATAATCACAAAATTTAAAGCATGAAAATAAATAAGTGTTGTTTCATCCAATTGAGTTACAGGGTATGGTATTTAAAAGAAATAAACCTGTGATATCCAAAGAATGAGGAAACTATTGTATCTATTCAAATCATGTGTAAACAGAAATACAAACTTGCACCCCAGATGGCAGACAGGGGCGGATCAATTTTGTTGTTGGGGCGGGGGGGGGGGGGGAGGTAAGGGATGGGGCAATTCTAAAAGACTTCTGACCCCGAAATTACATTTTAGCTTTCTCTAACAAACCGCCAAGATGTTATGTTGAAAGGGATTTCTTTTTCTTTCGTGTACTAAAAGGTATGCGATATTATCACAGGCCAGCTGTATTTTTGGGGAAGTAAAATCAATAGGTAAACAAGTTTGTTAAAAATAAATAATATAATTTGACGGATATATTTCATATATTAAGGTGGGAGTTAGTAATTTCAATTACTCAGATGACACAGTTTAGGGTTGGATTTGTTAAACCATGTTTTTGACAAAGGCATCGTACTAAATTGTTTTAAAAATTACTTGGAAACAAAATCAAAATTCTTCGTTAGACTACGACAGTTTAGGTGGATAACTGAAAGTTGATGTTTATAATGATATGTTGGATTACAATTTCATTGAACTTTTCTGCAGTTCGCCCGTGATTGCCCCACCCAGAAAATAGAGCACAATTTTGCAGGCTTGACGGAAGTTGACGGAGATAGGTGTGACAATAAACGCTCAAATGGTGCTGAATTTGAGCCCTCTGGGGTGCAGTATGAACCCTGAAAAGTTCAAGTTGTCACCTTCTGCCATTGAACCTGTTCTAAGTTAACAATTATAACCTTTTTTCTATTTCTTTGTGTGCATGGTGTACACAGGCTTCACAATCCCACAATTGAGTGACATGTTATGTGATTAAAACTCTTGTCCTAAGTGCTTTATCAATATTTGGGCCGTTAAAGTGGACATACAATTATAACATCAACTGAAGGTGCGGTGGATCCATTCTCTCTTTTAATTGGAAAACCATGAAGTGCTGTTTTATTTGTTTCCCAAACAAAATTGACCGTTGATCATTCCATATAACTTGTTCGTTTAACTTATATGTTTTTGTTTGAATTGTGGTGTATGAAATATATAAAATTAATTTAGAGTTTGGAATTTTTGCACTATGAATCCTTTCGTATGCGTCCCCAATTTCACCAGGGATGCAGGGCGGGGAAGGGGGGGGGGGGGCTTCCCTGCAAGATGATCAACTTTCTAGTCTCACAATTCCGGGGTGGAAGAAAGAAAACTACGCCCCTGTAGTCCATCACATCGTAAAAAAATTGGATGGTTGTTAATATTGTTTTAAAATGTGATATAGGCCTACCACGTACAGAAATGCTTTCTGACATCTGTTAAATATTATTAGTTTTAAAATATTTATCAATTGCCCGTTTCATATTTATTTGGGTTAGGCTGGCAATCATACTTCATTGGTTGCATATGTGACTCGGCGGCTCGACCCCGGGGGGGGGGGGGCGTACTCACATACGGGGTTGTGCCGCTCTAATGGGCCATTTTTGCACCAAAAAAATTCCTAAACATGGGTCCCATTTTAAACAAAAATATCCCTAAACATGGGTCCGTTTTTTCAAAATTTCCAAAATGATTTCGAGGAAAAATGACCCTTTAAAATGGATAGGGGTTTCGAGGCTTAAGCGCCACACCCCGTCCAAACCAAATCTGAGTACCAACCCCCCCCCCCCCCCCAGGTGGCTTGATCATTGAAAGGGGGAGGGGTGTTGCCCATGTAACACTCCTGCGGAAAACGCCACGATACCACAGCTGAGAGTCATTCGTCGATTCGTTCAAACGCACTTCCTCTGACTGAGTTTGTCTAGACAGGTACTTTCATTGACATCGATATACCACGGGAAAAGGCCAAATGCAGAGGAAATATAAAAGAAAGATATGCTTGATGATTAGTATCATTATCCATGATCACAGTCTCTACCAAATTCCATGGACCAAATTCGTTAAAATTAACGATTGCATTATTATATACTCGTAAGTCGTAACTATTTGGACAGTATCTAAACTTGGTAATACCTTTACCGTATTTAGATTAAAACATATTTTTCTTAATCCATGATTGTTTTTAAAAATCACTTTGTACATTTGCAGAATTTTGATTGTCTGAATAACAAAATTGATTTAGTGCTGAGTTGCTAACTATTATAAGATTGTGCTTAAACAAACGTGAGGTTTGAGGTATCCGCTCAGGCTCAGTCGCTACGCGTTCATGAACGGAACGCAGAGAAGAAGCATTATAGGCACGTGATCTATATCACTCTTTTCCTTATGAATTAATAAAATGGTACAATATCCAAAATTAAAGGGAGGCATCATCTACCACATCGTTAAGGAGAGAAAGGAAAACTAAAATTCATGGTGTCTTATCATCATCAGTTCTTATTAAATTGATGACGTAACCATACTTGAGATGTCCACCAAAACAACAAATAAACAAAAACAAACAAATTGAAAGAATGGAGGAGAACAAAACTAAAACTAAAACTAGAACGAGAAATGCTGTCTGACGTCTTTGATCAAAATGAAACAGTTTTGTGGTCAATAGCACACAAGTTGTTTGAAATATATCATCAAAACGAACAAAAGGAAACAAAAACTACTGACGTGCCTTTACTAATTGAATTACAATCTATATCTTCGTCTCCCATGAAGGAAATATTCATCACTTCCTCTTTCTCTTTCTATCCCCTCGTTTTCCTCTACTCCCATTTACTTTTTTCAAATGGAAAAGTATTTAGACAAAAATCAGTGGTAACAATACGACACAAACGTTTGTTGAGTATATTTGTTGCTACATGTTGCTATCCCGGGCAAAATCACAGTCTTCGACACAAATTGTATGCTGAAATAGCGAGAGAGAGAGAGAGAGAGAGAGAGAGGGGGGGGGGTTGAGGGAAAAGAGAACGAGTACCTCCAAGATCTTCTCTCGTATATGAATTAATTTTCTTTATTTTAATTTTTCATTTTTATTTTCATTTTCTTTATTTGCAATCTCACGGAGAAAATAATAATCATCAAAATATATGATAATTGCAATTTTTTTAAACAAACAGATCATCATATTTAATTCCAATATACAGTTACACAAGCCCTCTCCCCCTTCGAATACATGGGACCCATGCTATGCCATTTTATATCCCCCTGCTTACATATTAAGTACAATTATTACTATCTACAGACGCTAATGAATAAGGAAGCAAAGAAACTGGGGTTGGGAGGGATGACCCGTTCTAACTTGTAGTTATCTCGGAGCGGAGCAGCTTGAAACCAACGGAACTGGTGATTTCCGCCTGGCTGAACGACCTAGGATAAAATGACCTCAGATATTGACTCATTCTAATTTCCTTTGAGTTCGATAATTAGAAAAGATTTAGCAACAAATTGCTAGAATCGAATTGAAACCATAAACGTGTCTTAATTTGGTTATACTAAATCATTGAGAAGTAAAGTCGCGACGTCAATCAGGAGCCCCCCCGGGGGGGGGGGGGGGACATGATCGCTGATTATTTTGATCTCCAAGTGAACCTCGATAATGCCATTTTTAAAAGCAGGTCAGTCTCGTCCAGATCCCCCCCAAGGCTCGACTTTGTAATGTCTCTTGTCATGATTTTGAAATGACTCTGTAATGGTTTTGTAATCATATCTATCGTCATAAAATAAAATAAAATGAAATAATCTTGTGTATTTTGATTTCGTGTGTGAATAATGACAAAATTCATTCACAAGCACTTTTTCTTCTCGACATGTAAAGTAAAGAAAGGACAACTTGCTGTTTCATTTCGAATTAGAAAAAAATATATATAGACTTTTCGCGTAATTCATCTTTCCTTTAAAAGTTTAGAATTCCAGTGAACTTGAACTTGCGATCATCTTCTTTCCGTTCCTCAATAACAAAACAACATAATGGGCACTCCAGAGAATCACCGGCTGACCGGTTGCTAGAAGTCATACTGAGAACAGTTTTAGGAAGCGAAGGAAACGTGACGTCACGTCTTTAGGGGAAAAAAGGGAACAAGGAGTCACTTTCACCAAGCGTAATTTAGCAGGAATTTAGTGCCTTAATTCGAACAAACCACAACGGCTGGCTTCCCCTTTTAAGTGAATTCTCCCTTTTTTTAGTGAGAAAGGTGCAAAAAAGGTAAAAAGGTAAATATTTTAATGATGAATTCTTAGATTTTGACGGAAAATTCAAAATTAAGTTCCAGCTTCAGACAGCTTTACGCTCGAAAACAAATGTTTTAAAGATTATCATAGTTTGATGACAAGCTTCAAAACTCATCCTTTTACAAGAAAGAGCAGAAAGAGGATACAAATATTGACTCAGAACCGTTTAGAACCCCCTCCCGAAACACCCAATAATAAAAAAGCGCCAAGCCTAATGGAAATACCCTTTCATCGATATAGAGCGGTGTCTGACTGACTGTATCACTCTTCGTCAAGATGAAATTGACTCTAACTCCGTCGATACTTTCGGACTAAAAAAGGTTTGATAAATATTGAACGATTGAACCATGCATACTTTTGATAAATACAGAACGATTGATTTATGCTTTTGTGACTTCTCATTTAGATTATTGTAACGGATTGTACTTTGGCTTACCGAATTCCACCATTTTTCGACTGTAACATATTCAGATCATGGCAACCCGTCTCATTACCAAAACCAGAAGATATAAACACATAACTCCTATTCTTAGATTTCTTCATTGGCTTCCTAACTATTTTAACTCGCACTCGGTTAAAGATTCTTGTGATGGTATTCAAAATAAAAAATGGGTATGCTCCATCATATTTAAACGACCTTCTCAAACCTAATGTTCCACCATGTTCATTACGGTCAACAACAACAATATATATATGCTAATATTCAATACGCCCCTGGTCCCCCAACCAATACCCGTTACGGTGATCGTGCTTTTGCTGTTGCAGCCCCTAAATTATGGAATAGTTTACCTATTAGTGTCCGTCAATTTCCATCCGTAAAGTCGGTTAAGGTAAGTTTAAACTTTGTCTGAAAATAGAATAGCATTTTGATATTAAAAAACAAAAGAATCACAGATGATTCATTTAAAGCGAGGATAACACAAGTACATGTAGTTTTGGAATTATGCACAATTGTGAAAACAGGTTTTTTTGCGGATAGATAAACAAGCATTTCCTTATATCCCTAGTACATGGGCCTATTTTTTAAAATAAATGGAAATATGAATCTTGATGATATTCCTTACAATGTATCTAACGAGCATTTCACATCAGATATTGTCATACCATGATTCATTATCGCAGTCATTCCCCTCCCCTTAATCTTGGGAGCAGGGGCATAAGGGGGTTTAATAGGCAGCACCCACACCATCAAAAAGAAGATGATAAGATCCTGTCCCACACCCCTCCCCTCACTGTCTTGATGGTCTTCTTTATTTTCTTTTTTAGCATTCATCCACTTACAAATAGTAAGGCTTCGGACCTACTCTCTCTTTCCTAGGTCCATGGTCAGGCCGGTCCCCAGCCTCCATGACAGTGCCCCCCCCCCCCAAATGACTGGACCCACCTGACACCACTTAGTGAGAGATAGGAAAACCATTGCCGACAACACACAATTGCCAGCAGACTGCATGCCCAAAATTGCATAATTTATTAATTTTCTAAGCGGGGTCGCCCCCGCAGTGCTCCCGCCCCCCAACAATAGCTTCGAAAAACGTCAAGATTTACGGGCTGAGGAGTGAGGAGTGAGAAATTAAATTTCTACCAGGAGCATAAGAGGGGTGCAGGTTTGCCCCCCGTTCGTTCGTCGGTTTTTGGCTCTTCTGGATGGGCGCGCAGTGTTCGTTGATCGGGCGTGCGTGCTTGCAATCGTGAAGTACGCACAGCACAGTCAGTCGCATCCTTCACACATAATCGTTCTTCTTTGGTGAAGTGAGAGTTGTTCTCTAGCTCCACGCGCGCTGATCAGATGTTCCTCATCTCAGAAATGACAAAATGTTATAAACTCATCCATTGATACTTTTGATAGCAACTGGATCCTATCGACACAACCCTGCTCTGAACCACTCCAGAGCAGGAAACCTCTGTTATTTCAGTTGGAATAATTTTACTCTTAGGAAGCACTGTCCTTCGTGTGCCGTCGCAGTGGATGGGAATCGCTTTGAGCTCTGGAGCCGAGTTTGGAGGTAGTCTGCTGTGCTTGTTAGGAGGATAACAATTATGGATAACTAATTTGAAATGTAAGCGATCCAAACTGTTATGGAGTATGGGGAATGCAGATTGTTCAGAGGAGTTTAGCTGTGTTTAGTGTGACAATTGAGTGTTGAATTATTTTGTGACGATTTTGTAGTTCAGTAAAGCCGGCGTCTGAGAAAGTTTTTAGCTGTAGCAGTGTAGGTGTTTCGACACAATGGCGAACTTTTACCCGACTCTATCGGGGAGCCTGCCAGTGCTAGCGACTCTCTTGTTCCTAGCATCACACGTCTCTCCACAAATCAACAGTAGAACATCCTTGACAATAGACAATGTTATAGATCCAGAGTCGAGTTCAGTCTCCTCATCAAGCGGATTATTTTTTGAAGCGGAAGAAAATGGAGCTGGTCCTTTCAATGGGGGACATAGAACTGCTCAGACTGGCGGAACAACGATGGCTTTTGTTTTTGATGTAACGGGATCCATGTTTGATGACTTGCAGCAGGTTATCGAAGGAGCAGAGCGTATTTTGGATTCTAATTTGAAGAGAAGAGACACGCCTTTGAAAAACTTTGCCTTGGTGCCTTTTCATGATCCAGGTTTGTGTGGTTTCTTATGAAATAGTAAAAGATAATCTTTTATTCCTTCAAATTTATTAAGTTTAGATTGACCTTTTTTATAATTTTTAAATCATGACTTTCCCCTCACATGCCTCACTTCTCTTTTATTTCTTCCAATTTAACATGAAATTTATTCGTCTTTTATGTCTTTTATAATTTTAATGGAATGATGCTATTTTGAATGAATTCATTGATTACAGTACTTCATTATATATTTAAGAGGATCGACTGACAGAAATTAAAAAACCAATGCAAATGTAATTGTATGTAACTGTGTATTATCAATATATGGTAAATAATTGATCAAGTAGATGCAGTTACCTGAAAGAGTATGCCTTTAGTATTTTAATATTCTTTTATGAAGACATTGTTTAGTTTGTTTTGCAAAGCCCTTTTCCCACTCCTACATTCGAGAGGTAAGCTTTCCAAAGACTTTGAGTCTTTATTTGGAACAATGTAATGTAAAATTAACTTCTATAGCTCTACTTAACAAATCCTTTTTTTGGAAGTTTGCTGGAAGTTGTTGAAGTTTCATGGAAATTTATTACGGGCAAGCCTTTTCAATTCATGATAATAACCTAAAAACATCCAGTGATTTGTTATTTAGGTCAAACCATTACTATAAGGGGAGGTGGTACCCATGGGGTTAAATACAAATTACACAATAACAATTGACCCAGTTATTCCCTAGGCTAATTCTAGAGAAGACAAACAGGGGAGAGGAAAACAATTTTCTTTTTAATGACAAAGTACTCTCTAGTGATAGAGCAATTACATGTGTCTTTTGTGTCATAAAGTCTTTGTTGACTTTCGTGACTTTCTGGGAAGCTAAATCGTCTGCCCATATGACAGGCCAGATGAAGTGAGGCTTGGTACCCAATTCTCACTTGAAAGTTATTCTAGTGCTGTTTATGAGGTGCAGATTCGTAGAGTCAATGTGGCTTGTAAGTTGGTATTGGTGGTAGGATAAGAGTAAATGTTTCTTTCAGTTTCTGTAAGTTCAATTGTTTCAAAAAGAGACTGCTTAGACTTGTACATGTAGGTTATATATAATCAAGATAATATTTATGTCTGCAAAAGTAGAACCTTCATCTGAAAGAAAATTTACAGACTTGAGATATAAATCTAGGGTAATCTATCATTGGATTGGCACCATTTTATAAAAGTATGTACATTTGTTTGTACATTTTGGCCTATGTTCATCAGCTATCAATCTGGTTTTCTGAGTGTGAAAGAGGCTCCCCAAAAAAGGGCACAATACCCTGACTAGGACGTAAGTGTTAAAGCAGCCTTCTTGTCAGAACACAAAAGATACTTTGTGTCCTTTGTGTTCTGTCTGGTGCTGTTAGGATCTTATTGATAAAGAGTCAAGTATTGGTAAACATCCACTCAAACAGGACTGTTATCTCACTTAAGCCCAGTAATCTCATTTCAGAAATGCTGGAGAGAGTTTTTTCTTTCCCTTTTTTTTTCTAGAGAAACGGAAAGAGCAGGCAATTGTGTGTTTTTGACAAGCATGGCTTTATTTCCGATGGCAGAATACTTCACACTTCAAGTGGTACTTTTCTTGACAGAATTTCACAGAAAGGAAATTTTAAGCAGTTAAAAGGATTTGGTTGTTCTACTTTATTTATTGTAATTTCCAACCATAGTACCTCTCCTCGTCACAATGGCTTATGAATAATTCAAATGTAGATTTCACCGGATCCACCCATTACACAAACCAATAGAACTTCATTTCATACAATAGCCTGTGTACATTGGGTGATGTACCACCCAAAACCATTGTGGTGAAGGACATTCATACATGTACCGGTTGTCAATGTACCTTGTCCTGTGTCCCATTTTGTTCAAAAAAAATAATTTGCACTATAAATGGGCCCAAAGATACCTCTAGCAAATAAAGCGCCCCCTTGTATAGTAGATCACCACCCTGTAAGCCAGCCATGCCTCATCATACTGCTGATAGCTCAACGAAGCATGTCATATGGAGGAGATAGGAAATGACCAGAATAATGCCACAGGAAGTCACACTGGATGTATCACTATCTCCTATGTTATCTTCTCCTCTTGCTGTCTCTCACATCTTTGTCTCATGAATTAATAAGAACTGTAATTAAAGATGAAGTTGAGTTCTGGTCATGCGATTTCATTTTGAAAGAAACGTTGTGGAATCGATCAGAAAAGATTGATCATTTAGCATATATTAAAGTATTTGTGTGTATTGCAAGGGTCTGGAATCATCAAAATGATAAGAAATTTGGCCAAGTCTTGGTAAAGTTACAAGCACTGTACACAGAAAGATGTATATGGGACTACACAAAAACGTGGCGTAAAAAATCTGTCCCGGTTTTTACGATATTATATGCCATATTTAGAATGTGAAGTCATTTGAAGAGCCATGCTTTTCAGGGAACATTTTTTCTCTAAAATTCTTCCACACTTGCATAATAACAATGGTAACGCTCACAAATTATTGTTCACCTCTTTCCAGAGCTCAACCTTCTCTTTAAGTAAATCCACGAAAGCTACACTAGACAATGTTTGGAAAGTACAGTGTTTAGAAACACTATATAAATATAAATGCTACTATGATACTTTTAAAATGATTAAACAAATCATTCTTATGACTTGCTTATGATAAGAGTTTGAAAGAAAAAAAGCAATTAAGGACTATACTTTCAAACTCCAATGAGCCTTCAAAGTACTTTACAATTACATCTTACGTGGGATGAGGTATGCTCTGAAATAATGATGCAGTGAAACCTGTAGGAAGACAAGAATAGGCAGTTGGTCATTTCTTTAAGACAATCGAACAAAAACAAGTTCTTTATATAAATATCGACAGATGGTTGTTAAATCAGGTTTGCCAGCATGTTTCCAAATTGGGGAACATTTGAAGATTTCTAGTGGGAGATAGGGCCCATTCTGCTACTACAAGTACAAGTATCTTAAAAGCTGTTTGATTGATATGACATCATTACCTTTCACAATCTAAGTGAGCTTATTGTGCATTTTCTCAGACCAAAATGCTCACAGTACCCTGTAATTTAAAAAAAATACTTACTCTCGAGTACGGTACATTCTGGAACCCGATCAAGAAGAAATTACACATGTATCTAAAAGTTCCACTGAAATCATATTGCAAAATCTCTAAACATCCAATCAGATTCAGGTCATAAGTTAGCCTTTAGTGCTCTGTGTTAAACAGATCCAAAGGGCACTCCAATCCTGATAACAAGTTGATTTGTCTAACAACATAAACTGTCAGAGAAACTGATAGTGATAGTGAAAGTCAAAACAAAAATGTAGGCTATGAAATGTATAACATTTGATTATTCAGTAAGTTTGAATCTCCCCTTTGTTTCTTTTGCTGACTTGCACTAGTTGTTAGTTGAATCAGTACTCTGTGCAAGCTACTACATTTCTGCAATGAATTTTATATGTAAACTTAGAAATTATTAAATGAGCTCAGGTGCAGAGCTAGATAATATTGAAGATTTCCTCTTCCCTTAATATTAGCGTGACCTTTTTGTCCATCAAATTTGAAATTGTCTCAATAAAAGGACAACCTGCAAAATATTAAAATAAGAAGAAGTGATTTGGAGAATGGACTTGAGTTTGACCTCTGAAGATTTCTTTTTTCAAACACATGCATCTGCATCTTGGTGCACAAAGTCTAAAGACCTCTGAGATTCGTACTCAAAGTCAACAAAAAAACAGCTGAAATACTCTGAAAGCAGACAAACTTGAGGAGGAAACGGACGCTGATTTAGGGTGCCAGTTTTCTTGTTCGCCAGCTATTCTTGGTTACAATGGGGGTAGTTTGTTCCCGTCACAAGGGACCGGTTGAAATTGTGATTTCCGCATGATTCACGTTAGAAAGTGGGAGTTTCCCCTCCCAAACCAGAAAGAGCTTGTTTTTCTACTGAAAGATCTGGGCTATACTCTCAAAGGCCACATCTAGTAAGGTTGACAGCAAAATCATTGTCACGTTTCAGAGCTTGCAGAGCTGAACCACTTCAGAGCTCCCACATAGAGTCGACCATTTGTCTCCAATTTGCACCTAAATTGAGTTATGATGATCTTGGCTTTGAACAATATGGACTTCATTTCTTTGGAATGTATGTGATTATGTGATCAAAATCATAAGAGAACCATGTGACCACGCTTTAAAGGTTTTATCTGAAAGAAAAACAATTGCTCTTCTATCAAAAGTGAAAGTGATGCCTTTATTCTTTGTAAAAAAAATATATTTCCAAAGAATGAATTTATATTGTACCTCTGAAATAATTAGAACTAGAGCTTCTCCTCAACTTTTTCTGTGGCTTGGCCACTGGGCATTCAAGATAGTTCCCCCAAATAACAAATTAAACTAGGTGGTAGTCGTTTGTGTGCGGGTCGGGCAAATTTAGAGTAAAACAATGAGTTAATATTGGGAGATTTTCACTTGCTAGCTTCATTGGCAAGAAAGGCTGGACGTATGAGTATGAGATGGCTCGGCAGGATTTTAGCTGGCCAGTGCCACCAGTAACCACAATCTTTGATCCCTCTTTGATCTTTGTCTCCCATCTTGACCAGTTGACTGATCCAAAAGTTGACTGAATAGAGCAGTATGTCGGTAGCATCAATCCTTCCCTCTTCATCATATTATCAGGAAATAAACAATAGACGAATCGGAGCAGGTCAAGTATAGTGCACTCTTCTAATATTCAAAGATATCTTGATTAATAAATATAATGCTTCCTGGGAGAAATTTTAATTGAAAGAGTAAGCCACAAATATGTTAAACAATGTCTTGTTTTGTGGTTACAGTATGTCATCTATAATGGTTACATTCGTAAACAAACAGAGGAGTAAGTCTCTCCATTATTAGTAATTGATTGCAGGGCCCTCAGGGAGAACAGTATGAATACTGATGAGGCTACCCTGGGTAAACAAGACATATTATTATTATTATTATTATTATTATTATTATT